CCAGCTTTCTGACTCAGCCTAATCCTTTTCTTTAAGAGTAAAAGCGATTTGGTCTATATTCTAACAGAAGAGCTATCACTCTTTCTTGCTTATAATTCAGTAGAAGGGAAGGTCTCGTTTATCCTTTTAAGCATTCTTTCTATTCTCGTCTTCTTGGCCAGATAAAGGAGATAAACAAAGAAATCGGCAAATCTCTCTCAGCTAATTTCTGGCCTGTAAATACCATCTTATCTCTCTTTCTAAGAGAAATAAGACTATGACTAAATTTTTTGCTTCTTAGTTTATCCTCATATATTTAGATCTCAAATATATTACTATAATAAAATAGTAATAAACTAACTCTATGCTCAGAATGTGGTAATCCTAAGAAATAGTCTCTAGTTATCAAAGTAAAGGAATATTTTTTGTCAGTTCATAATGTTCCTATAATCCTTTTTAAATATCACTGTGCTTTGTGTTTCCCAATTAAGACTTGTTATACACACTTAGTCCATAACTGAGGGTTTCTAATGTAAATGTTTTTGTCCATAATAAACAGGGACAAAACTTAATTATCTTATTATTTACTACAGGATACCAAAACCGAAAGTATTATTTCAGAAACCAGTAATAAAATTGACACTGAAATTGCTTCTTTAAAAATCCTGATGGAGTCTAACAAGCTTGAGACAATTCGTTATCTTGCAGGTAAGAGAAAGGAATTACTGTCATTTGATTTTCAGACCTGTTAGCTCCTACCTCCCAAGGGACAGAGAAGAGAATAAGGAGAAGCTGTAACAGGTTTCCTTTATTGCTTGGTCCCCTACAGTGCTTGAAGAATATGAGATTAACAGGCAATTCTGTAACCTACATGGCTAGGAAAAAGCACGTGGATATCAACAAAATATATGAACATAAGTACAAAATGATGCAATGATAAACTGCGTATTCCACAAGGGAAAAAAGTGGAAATTTTATTTTTATTGCTAGCTCTTCCATAAGGATTTGAATGAACTTACATAGAAAGATCACTAAAATAGATACAGGTCATTAAAAACCAAAGCAAGCAAAGGGAAAAATTACCTCCTACCTTGAATCCAATTGACTGAGCACAGATACTACCCCCAAATTAGATCATTTGTCACAACTGAGTTCCTCAAATACCACATAACCTGACCCAGTTACAGGGCACCAAAGAGTTAGAAAGAAGGCTGTAGTCAAGTAGTACTTTTCTTTTTTCTTTATTTTTATAAAAGGTAATATATTTTCATTACAAATTACTTATATAATTCAAAAGCAATAGAGTAAAGTGAAAGCCTTCTATTCCTTACCCATATGTACTTACTATTAGTAGCATATATTTTTCTAGGCTTTTTCTTCTGTATGTAAATATTACATATTTTAAAAATATTAACTAGGACATACTGTATAGCCTACAACTTTTAAAAATTTAACCAATTGTCTTGAATATCATTCCTCATCAAGGCAGTCTTTTTACTAGAAAGCATAGTATTCCCTTGCATGAAAATGCCATAATTTATTTATCCAAACTTCTATTAAAAGACATTCTGCTCCCAATTTTTTATGATTAAAAACAATATTGTACCAAATAGCCATACATGTGTGTGTGTTTGAGCAAATACACACACACATATATATCTTGTGTCCTTGTGCTAGTATTTCTGTATAGTAAATTGCTTATGCACATCTTCTTTTCACAGCCTCAGTGTTTACTTGCCTGGCAATAGCATTGGGATTTTACAGAATCTGGAAATAGGAGTGAAACTGCTATATTAAGCTTCTACCGCTGCTACTATTGATTCCTTAGACCACTACACCAAGACTGTAGTACATGTACTTTGAACATTGAAAGTTGCAGCAGGAACTTAATTCAACAAGATCATTCAAAATACATATGGACTAAAAGAAATGTTTTAGAATGGGAAGATATAATTTTGTCTTTGTTTTTTATGTGTCCTTGTTTTATTATGTTGAAAAGCTACCTGATTATCAGATTTGAGATGGAATGTCCTTTTGTCTTTATCCTTTTGATAGTTCATAGAAAACTGACCAGTTTTCTTGTATTTGCTTGAACAACTTTAAGCCATATAGATTGTCTTTAGTATTTACATCAAATTTGAAAAACATTCCCCAAACCTACATACTGATACTGTATTCAGCTTTCCTCATAACTATTGCACAATTACCTTTTCATATGAAATAATAAAGTTGTTTGGATTTTAAAAGCAACGTATTATAAAAAGATGGATTTTTTTGGCTGGGGGGAAGAACAAGCAATTTAAAAATGATGTGTGCCCTAGTACAAGTATATAACAGTATGAAGTCTGTAGAGTTGCTAACTCTTAAGCTCTGATTATTACATTTATTTTTAAAAAATTTTGATTCACAAAAACCAGTTTATCCCTGCTTCTCAGGAGCCCAGCTTAAATTTGTTACAAATTCATAAACAAAGCTTTTTATGATTCAGCAAATATCTATTGATATATAATCCCTACTTTCAAGATAATCATGGGGAAATTCTTATTTTTTTGTTGTTAGTGGATCTATATTTTTACCTTACATGATAGTTATCTATTACTAGTATATATGTACTTTCAAGAAAAGTACAAAATATTTTCATCTCAGAACTTCAGTTTTATCCAGGAAGTGTTAACATTTCAAAAAATTTCATAATGCCTTGTCAATGTCTTTAAAAGTTCGATAATCCATTAGTGATTAAAAATAACCCTGTCATTTGGGAGTCTAAAGTACAGAGCAATCAAAAGACTGGTCCATACGGTCTAGTGAGTGAGAATCAGAGCCTTTCAAATTAAATTTTCTTCCACAATCTAACTGCTGAGTTTTCTTCAAAATAAAACTCTGTATTTTAACATTATCCTGTTGCATTCTGATTCATTTTTATCTCAGAATCCCCTTGCCTAAGAAAATTCTCTGCAGATTATAAATTTTTGTCAGATCTCCTCAAACCTAACAAGTAAAGATGCGTATTTCCAGTTTATAACCATTAATAAAAATAGATCTTCTGTTTAGTCTCTAGGGATTTAGCAAGTGAAGTGCTTTGCATCCAGTAATGGAAGAATGGAAATCACCATACCCTATTCCCGTTGTTTCTGGGTCCTCTATCTTTTTCATAGAGAATTCATTTTGGTGCAGGTTTGGCGTTTAGATACACTTTTGTTTAGGGAATACAAATAGCTGAAAGATGAGAGAATGTGTTCCCATGTGCCTGAAAATGACACCCCTCTTCAGCACTTGGGTCCATCCCACTATAATAGCTTTCACAATATATGTCTGTTTCCTACATTAAACTGAGTTCCCAGAAGGCCTCTAGCTAGAGGCATATATGAAGTGCTTGTTAAATACCTGTAGAATAAATGCTATCAGTGTTCTCAACTGACCTTTATCCAAACTTTTTAATATTTTAAGTATTTAATTATGGGTATGCAAAGAACGTTTGATTTATACAGAATTTCTAAGAGCACTAAAGCTTCTGGGCATTTTGTGTAGGTGGTAAGAAGCCTCCAAGAGGGACTGCTACCATTACCATATTTATAGCCATAGACTAGCTTCTAACTTGTCGTTCCTACTACTTGGTGACAAAGTAGACCAGGCAAGATTATGTAAGGACTAGTCAAGAGGTAGTAAAACCCCTTCACCATATTTGAAAAACAATTTACAGCTTATAATGCCCATTTTGTCAATCTTTAAGAATTTAGATTATATCTGAAGTTTTAAATATTTAACAGTTCTCAGAAAAAAGCTATAGTCGCCAACACCAAAATTAGCGATTGTCATTTTGTAGAATAATAGCTACCACTGATTGTACAACAGTGAATATGCTAAACAGTATGTATCAGCTTACCTAGTTTTCATAGCAATCCTCTTAAGTAGGTGGTATTATTCTCATTTTACAGCTGAAGAAACAAGCTAAGTGAAATTAAGATCACACAATTGAAACTACATTCAAGTGAAGTTGCCAGGGTCACAGCAGGTAAGTCACACACACTTAAGCTCCAATACCCTGGTAACTTCCAAGTTGAGTCCTCTATCTCAAGAGATGGACAGTCCACTGAGGCATGGGAAAAACATTATAGAATTTGTACTTATATCTCTTTTTAACATCTTTTTTACTTTTATTTTTGTGTTTCATTAATGTACTGTGATAGACTGGGTCTTTGTCCCCTGTTACTAGCAGAGATCTCCTAAAACCCTTGTGATTTTTCTGAGTGATAGGGTAGATAGGAGCTTCTTTTGTTTTCCTGGCACACAGCTTCTAAAATCCTTGGAATCTCCAGAGTGATAAAAGTATCTTCCGTATGCTGAGGTAAGCGTGGCTGGGTGCCCTTATACAGCTTCAGACTAGGGACTGGTTGCCAGAAAGACCAAGACATGACTAGAAAGTTGGAACTTTTGTCCTCCTCTAGGCACCCACCTCAACCTTGGGACAGGAGAGGAAAGATGGAGGTTGAGTTTGATCACCAATGGCCAACAAGGTGCCGGGAGGGCGACACACCCAGAGGGCATGGAATTCCAGGCATCTCTTACCTTGTAATTTGTCTTACATTTGGTTGTTCTTGAGATGTATCCTTTTTAATAAACTGGTAACAAGAAGCAAAGTGTTTTCCTGAGCTCAGTAAGTCATTCCAGTAAATTGTTAAACCTAGGAAGGTGGTTCTCAGAATCCCCAAATGTACAGCCAGTCAGTCAGAAGTACCGGTGACAACCTGGGAGTTGTGAATGGTGTCTGAAGTGGGTGCAGTCATGGGACTGAGCCCTTAACCTGTGGACTCTGACACCAACTATGGGTAGTCAGTGTCAGAACCGGGTGGCTGAACACCCAACTGGTGTCCAGAAAATCAGAGAATTGGTTGTTTGTGTTGGAAAACACCACATGTAACATGATGATACTACATGTATATGATTTGTAATTAAGTACACATAATCTGAGGGTTGTGTTACAATTTAGATTTAGCAACTATAAGACCCAAAATACTAGTGGCTTAAATAACATAGAGGTTTATTTCTCTCTTAACCTACAGTCCAAATGTAAGCATTCCTGGGCTAATATGTCAGCCCCATGGTATCGGCCCAAGGCCTTTTTAGCTTATTACTCTACCATTCCTGGTGTTGTCCTCACCCATGAAGTCCAATGACTCACCACCACATCCACATTCCAGAGGATGTGGGCAGGCCCTTTCCTAGGGAATGACCCTAAGGTTATACACATCATTTTTGCTCACGCTCTGTTGGCCAGAACTTGGTATCTTAGCTTCAGAGGAAACTGAGAAGTTACTCTAACCCAAGAAGCCACAAGCTCAAGTAAATCCTAATACCATGGAGAAAAGGGAGAACACATATTGGGGGACAACCAAGGAACTGCTGCCACGAGGGTGTATGCTTCTGGTACTTCCCACCTCACTGGTGCAGAGAGACTGGAGTGTGGCCTTGATAAAAACTGGAGCAAGTATGACAGACTATTTCCAGGGTTGGAATTAACTTCAGGGTTACCAGACTAAGACGGAAAATGTAAGACTGTGTGTAGTCCCAGAAGGTGAGGAAGATGGCGAATATGGGAATTCCAGTCGTGGTTAAGAATGCAGACTCGGGCCTTTCGTTGCTAAGGTTGAATCCTGTCTCCACATCGCTGTGTGAGTCTGGGCAAATTACTTAATCGCCATCTATAAAATATACCTATATCATACAGCTGTGGGGAGAATTAAGAGAGAATATGTGTAAAGGACTTGGCAAAGATCTCACACACTCTAAGTGGCCAGTAAATGTGGACAACTATTTTTACTACAGACTAAAAGCCTATTGGAAACCACAGAGAAATGAATGACTATAAAGGTTATCAAAAGGATAGGTAAGCCAGTTTTAACACTTGTTTACAGAACCTTGACTAGGCTGACTGGGCTTAGCAATCAAATGCACTCATGTCAAAGTAAACTGGTCCTGACAATAGTAGGTCAAAATGGCCTGTAGTGTCCTACATACCAGAGTCTAGACGGTGGGCAACCTGGTGTATGGTGAGATGGCTGTTGTCAGTGAAGCCAAAGGGAGCAATCAGAACTACAGGGGAAGGCAGGATCTGGTAACTGCCCCCGAGAGAGTCACAGGTACCAGCTAGCTCAAGGAGGAAAGCAGGTGGGGTAGAAAAAGTAAGGGCATTGAAGTCAGAACTGAAATTAAATGCCATGGGATTTTTTTTTTTTTTTGGTTAGCAAAGTAAAGGGGTACAAAAGGGAAGAGAGTAATAAAGCCATGTGTTTTATTCTGCCCAATCTGCTTTGTCTATATTCCTCTCTTATAAAGCTGGCAAGACAGAATGGCTGAATTTTAAAACAGATTATTTAAATGGGTATTCTTAGCAAACATGTTTTCTAAGAGCTAATTTTCATTTTATGAAAACTTCCCTGAGATACTTGGTTGTTACTGTAAAGTTGTCCTTTTCTAAAACTTAACTGGTCTTATATTGCATTTTTTTCTCAAGCCCAGATGCTTCTTAAAATTCAAGTCATTTGAAAAATTAATTTAAAAAATTATCTACACTAGTAAAATGGTACTCTCTAGAGAGTAAAAGAAATACTATTATGAAGTCATAATAGAATTCTTAATTTTTAATATCTAGATTTGATTACTAGCCTGTACTATCTTAAATTTTAAATTTTGTGTGAATAGTTGCAAAATTAATTACTCCTATATCTAGTCTTGACTTGCCTACATAAATATATAAAAAGTACACTAGGGAGGAGTACAACTAAGTTCATGTAATTTGAACAATCCCTTTGATATTATGTAACATATCTGCTGCCTTCAGAACTGGAATAAGCATATCAGAGTAATTCTGAGAAGAGTTTATATAGATTTACACTTACGTCAATTTTAAAAATTTAAAAATCAAGCAAGTTTATTCATAGTTTTTTCACTGATTAGTACCTTCTCACAAAAACTCCTCCAGAAGCCACCTTTTTCTTCATGCGCCTCTTCTCTTTGCTTGACACACAAGAAGAGTCATCTTCCTATAAACAAAGGAAAAGAGGGCCAAATAAGGTTCTTATTCTACATACATTTTCATCTTTCTATATTATCTGTTCCAAAAGAAAATTTTAACTGTACAATATTTTCAACTCTGGATTAAATTTCTTTTAGGATTTTGTATAAATAAATTCTCAAATCTAAAGTACCAGTGCATTTAATTGTGCTGATAAGGCTAGGAGGCATCTTGAGAAATCATCCAGCCCTATTTCTAGCTAATCTGTCCCTAAAAGAGAACAGCCTGTTATTTCTGCTTCTATCTTAGCCTAACATTTCATAACACATGTAGTAAGTCATCCTCTGGATTCTCTGCAAGCACCACTATGCTAGAAATCACATTTCCTGGGCCCCCCATTACTTCCTCTGTGTTCCTGCAACATCCATCCCTCTGCTGCTCTTCTCTCATTCTCCGCTTGGCTCTGCCACCCACTGTTGCTGAATATTTCTCATCCAGTGTGGTATTCTCAGGACCTGGCACAGAAGATGTACTTCATAAAAGTTATAGGAAGAAGCAAGAGAGGGCTAGAAATACAGTAGATGCTCACCAGATGTTAGTCATCTTTTAAAAATTCTTCCAGTCAAAAAATGCTCAGTACCCCATTGGGCAGGTCAGATCTGAATGCAGAGGCACAAGGCACATGTCCCCGGGGAAAGCCCATGCCTAGAGTTGGCATTCCAACGTGTTCCTGCCCACACCTCTGCTAATGAGGTCAGTCAGCAGAACTCAGATAGGAGAGTGTGAACATGAGAGTAAGCTGCCATTATCCCAGTACCACAAGGAAAAACCAAGAACCACACATCTCTTCCCTCCTCCCCTCTCAGCTGCAAACTTGAGAGAGGAATAGATGGAGAATTTGCAGGCCCTCCCTTAATGGTGGAAAGCACTGGTGGCAGGCATAATATAGAAGGTCTCTTCCCTAGAAAAAGCTTACCACCTAATCTGAAGACCAAGAACAACAAATCTTTTACTGGGACTTAGCAAATGGCATCACCATATTTCATACTTTACCTACATAACACGGTGAAGTAGGTAGTATTACCAAAGTTTTACAGATGCAGGAACAGAAGTCAAAGAGGTTAAACAACTTCCCCCAAGGTCACAAAACTAGTCAAATGGCAGGATTCAAATCTAAATTTTATCTGACACCAAAGTTCATATTATAACCATTCCTCACTCCCGTCTTCCAGCAAAAAAAATCACTCAGTTCCTACATCTGTATATACTACATTATAGGTATGCGAAAAGGAATAAGATATGGTTCCTACTCAGGAATCTACAGTATCAGATATAAAAGAAGTGTTTAATTCATCCCCCTGGTTTCAGGAAGTAATAAAGATCATTAATGATAGATGCAAAGATGTTTGTGAAAGAAAAGCTGAGGTAGGGTGAGATTTTAACTTCAATTAGATGGAACTAGAGAAAAAATAAAATGGAGGAAAAGAGAGGTAGCTACTTGTCAGAGGTGGCCAATTTTCTAGTGTGTCTTTGAGCTACAAGACTTCTAGAAACAGTAATATTTATATTCCTTTACTTTTCACATGTGCTAACTCCTAAAAGAAGTTTTAAGAATTCAAATACTCTAAAAATAATGAGCTTCTACTAACACCAAATATGTAACTTGTTCTCTGAAACCAAGCCTTAGTATACAACTATTTCAAAAGAAAATACATGGTTAGCAGTTAATAGGCCTTCAGTAAGTATACATTGAAAATTCTAAACTTCCAGGTTCCAGAAGTTTCTGCATTTGGGGAACATTCTTCACCAAGGTTACTCCCTCATATAAATCATAGCCAGAAACATATTTCTCCCTAATACGTGTTTTCTCCTAAACTCAGAAAAAGAGAACTATAATACTGCGGTATTGAATATCACCAAAAGCAATACTAAGTAAATGCAGTCTAATACAACAAAATTAGACAACAACCCCTGTGAGAAAATATATGTATTTTAAATATAAACCAGTATTTTTTGCTCTGAAAGAATCTGTAAGTTGAATAGAGTCATAATACTACACATGATGGAGCTAGAGGGTATTATGCTCAGTGAAATAAGCCAGGCAGAGAGAGACAAGTACCAAATGATTTCACTCATCTGTGGAGCATAAGAACAAAGCAAAAACTGAAGGAACAAAACAGCAGCAGACTCACAGAACCCGTACTCCAGCGAATACCACCTGACTTTCTGTACTACGGTATCCCCAGGGGCTAAAGGTGGTACAAGATGAGCACTGCAGACATGAAAAGAATAGAGTAATTATTATAATTAACTCTATCCCTTGGAAAATGAAGCACTGGTGAAATACCAAAATCGAGATTAAGTGTTGGAGTTTGCACATTCATAGAAATACACATATGTGTTTACAGATGAAGAGAATGTTGTCTACTCTGAAAACACTGAACTGTTAAAGAGTGAAACTTGGCTTGGGGAGGAATATCTGCTCTGTTTTTATCATTTTAGAACAAGCACATATATTAGTTTTTTAAACTGGTTATGAGAGACAGGTCTGGAACAGCATTAACTCACCCATGATGACTGAGGAAAAAATTTCCCTGTGGAAGGAAAATATGAACATACCCCAATCCCTACGCTAGGTGACACGAGCTGTCCGCAGGACCACACCACGGCTGTCTTCACTCACAGAAGAGAGTGGAGGTCAGAGTTCCCCTCCCTTTCTGCCCGCTCGGCTCTGAACTAGATGGCCTGGAATACGAGCTCCACTAGCATTTCGCTCTGCCAGTTTCATTCTACTTCCTATACTCCACCTGCTTTTCTGTATTTGTTCTTTGCAGCCCTTTCTCACATTAGTTTCTTTTTAGCTTCTTTCTACATATTCCTCCTTTTTATCTGTCACTCTGAGTATGTTTCTGTATTTTACAGCTATATTCTGAATGCCCAAATTCATAATACCAGCCAGGAATTACGAAAAGAGTTAAGGCTATGAAGTCAAAAGCTAGAGACTGAATACCGATCCCACCACAACTCATTGTGTGAATTTAGACAGGTTGCTTAACCTCTCTGAACCTCCCTTTCCTCCCTTTATTCTCTTAGTTACTCTTCTGGATTCTACTTCTTTAGAAAATTAAATAAACACGTTAAGGACACCAACCATAGCCACAAAGCTGGGGGCCTGGATTTTCTCCAGTGCCTCCCTGAGTTGGTCCACCTCTGCTCGGTACTCATCCAGCTGGCATTCTGATTCTTCTCGGCGTAGTCGTTCATACTCCAGCTGGCCCTGCAGCTCTTTGATAGTTCTGTTAAAAAAAAAAAGTTTTCAGTATCCAACATGAACTAATAATTACATTTGGCATTGTATTTAAGACAAATAAAACAAAGAAATTACTTATTTGACATACAGTACTGTACTGAGAGTCTAATATGAGCCAATATTGATCTAGGCACTGGGGATACAGCAATGAACAACATAGGCCAAATCTCCCCTCATGGGGCTTATTTGATTAATGGGGGAAGTCAGACAATAAAGAAAATAAATAAGTAAATATATGCTATGTTGGAAGGTGATAAATGCTAGGGGAGAAAAAAAATAAAGCAAGAAATAGCACTATAAAATGTCCAAGAGGGACACTTCACACACAGCCGCCAAGAAAAGCCTTACTGAGAGGGGAGCTTCTGAGCAAAGTCCTAAAGGAATAAGAAAGACAATCAAGTAGACATTTTGGGGAAGAGCATTCAGACAGGGAAGAGCAAGTGCAAAGACCCTAAGGCAGAAGTATGTCTAATGAACTAGAAGAAACCAGAGGCCAATGTGGCTAGAGAAATTTAAAGTATAAAAGAGAGAGAAGGAGGTCAGAGGGGTAAAAAAGCCAGAACAAATGGGGTCTTATCATAGCAAGAACTTAGGCTTTTACTCTGAGTGAAATGAGAAGCCACTGGAGGGTTTGAGCAGAGAAGTGGCATGATTTGACTTAGATTTGGGGTGTTTTGGGCCTTGTTTTGTTAATGACATAAAATTTACTTTGAGTGGAATATACAAATATCAAGTGAACAATTCAGAGAGCTTTGATGAATGTGTAAACCCTTGTACCACCACCAGTACCATGACATTGACCCTTCCCATCACCTCAGAAGGTCCCCTCATGCCAGTCCCAGGCAATCCTCCCTTCCCAAAGCCAACCACAGTTATGTATCATGTCAGATTCGTTCTGCCTATGGTTATAAGTGAAATTGTACATTATACACTTCCGTGTGCCTGGGTTCTTTCAGTCAACAGTGTGGGAGATTTATCTGATTTAGGTTTTAACATGATTACTCGGGACACTGTGTTGAGAACAGATTGTAGGATATGAGGATGGGGAACTGGGGACAGGGGCATGAAATGGGGACATACACCAGGATTATTATTAAAATAAATCCAGAAAAGAGATGCTGTGACTTGAACTATGATATTTTTTTTCTGCCTTATTGCTGGGTGGTGAGGGGAACAGAATTTCCAGGGCAAGCTGGGTTGGATTTTAGATTCCAAGGAGGGCAATCTAAGCGTCTACAGTAGTAGCTCTGGTACAGAAGTGAGTGGGGGTAAGACTGGGGATAGGGAAGAAGAATGCCCTATGGAAGCCTGGAATTCAGAAATAAGAAGGGAAAATCATCCCCAGGACAGAGTAATACAACCATATTTTGTTGTATTGTGAGTTTGGTCTAACTAATGGATAAGGACAAAAATCAAAGGATCACCCCTCAAATGAATACTTATCCTGTTTTTACTTACAATAAGGTCTAAGATCAGGAGTTTATCTAAAACATAAATGTCTTAAGATATACTTAACACAAAGTGGAGAACAAATACGAGAGAAAAACTAAAGCTTACTCAGAAGAAATACTGCAGTCTCAGCTGATACGATACTACTTCTGGCACAAAGGCTAAAACAATCTTTAAAGAAAAAATTCTGCTCGAAATCATTTACATCAATACTATAACCATTTCACACTGAAATGTGAATATTAGAGTTAACAATTCCATTAAGGACTATTAAAATCATAACAATCTTGGGTAATAGGTTTGGGGTCATACAGACCAAATCCTGGCTCCATGTTCCCACCCCTACTCCTCCCTTGCTGACTTTATGCAAGTTACTTAACCTCTATGTTAAGTCTTGGTTTCCTAGTCCATGTAGTGACATGATGTAGCTAATGGAGCTTTGAAGATTGCATGAGATAATGTATATAAGAGGCTTATCTAGTGTCTAGCACCGAGTAGTGCTCAGAAGTAAGACAAGTAGCAGTAGTATAGTAATCTGACAGAGGCAAAGGAAACCAAAACTGAAAGCGGGTTATCTAGTGAAGTACTTTTCTAGACTACCAGGGGTCTGAGACTTCCAGCTAGGCTCTTAGACAAAGGCCAATACCATTTCAAAACACTTTAATGAACAAGAGGCAGTGAACACTTACCTGTATGATGTGATTTGGGAGATACCAAGAAGTACCCCCCAAAATTTTTTTGTCTGCCACAACTTCCTCATGCCTAAAATCCCACTAAGAGATATAGTGCTTGGCCTGAAGGCTTTGTCTTCTGCTCAAATTCCTCAGTACCCATGGAGGGCCAACACATGAATCCTTATCAAAGATATACAGGTTACTCTGAATATACTTACCAGACCTTTTACTGATACTAGATCCTGAAGAGGGTGGAGGGAAGGGAAACAGGAGGCTCTGAGTGTGAGGGAGAGACACCCAATCAAAGGAAAGGGCAGGTGAAGCACAGAATCCAAGTGTGCTGCACTTCCACTTTTCAGACCCAGGTTTGATTAAACTAGGAGCCTGCTTTCCTGTGTCCCTTTGTTCCCTGTCCCCCCTGGAAACAGAGAAGCAGAGGCAGTAGAAGAAAATAAGCACTAGGCGGCCTCTATTCCAGCAGCCATTCATTAAGAGGTACCCAATGTACAGAGAGCCGGGGTAGAGTGAGGAAGTGAAGGGGGGGCAGAGGGGCACCTGCTCATCACCTCTGGACACAGGGGCATTCCCTGATGGCTGCTGCAGTCAGTGAGCACAGGCATGAGTCTCAAATTCGTGAAGCAGCAGTCCAATTTGGCTGAGATGGTTAGAGACTGCGTTGGTCAAAAAACTCAAAAGTAGCTGTGGTCTCAAAAAAAATCTTAACTCCTTATAGAGTTCGCTTTTATAAGATACAGAGTTCCAGAGAATGGTTATTCAAAATGTGAATGTACTTAACACTACTGAACTGTACACTTATAAATGGTTAAGATGATACTTATGTAATGTGTATTTCACCACAGTTAAAAAAAATATTAACACCTTCTCCATCTGGGGAGTTAGAAGGAAAGCAGGGTGGAACCTTACACCCTTTGGTGAGGAATAGAAAACAAGCCATTGGTTAAAACTCTCAAATGGCTCTGAAAGAAGTAACTAAAAACAAGACATTAACGTTTTAAGGACATTACTTTTCAGACTTGAGCCGTTGTTTCTTCTGCTTTACATCTTCTTCTGTTATCCCTCCCAAGTGTTTATAGTTGCTCTCAGCAATTTCCAGGAGGTGTCTCAATTCTACAATTTTCTTATAAGCTCTCTCTGCAAGACAGAGTTGAAAAGCAACCAAGTTTAGAGATAACAGCTCATATGCTCATCGGATGCTGGCCCTAAAGCATATTCTTCCACTAAAGCCAGTGTCTCTGTGGTTTGAGAAAGGCAGTAGAGAAAGGATGGCATGTACATAGATGGATAAACATCACTAACAGAATATTAGGATGAACAAGCAATAGAATACCTAAATGGAGGAGTCTTTTCCTGCCACCAAAGCGTGTATTAGATTGTCCTGCCTATTAGTATGAGGAACAAAGGTTTAAAGAAGACCAGCAGTGTTTTAGGACTACTGATGTATTATACAACCATGCATGATGTACTGTAAGTCACAAAATTAAAAAACTGAGTATGCTTGATTTAAAACAAGCCAGATCTAACCCAGCCCCCAAATTTTATGATTAGTCATTTGTAGTGTCTATGCAAGAGCACACTGAGAAGAAAGGATGTTGAGAGCTGCTTTTACCTGTTCTCCAACTACCAAAACTATGATTTTTCTACCTTTTGTGGTAGTGGTTCTCAACAGGGATAATTTTCTCCCTCAAGGGATATTTGGCAACATCTGGAGACATTCTTTACCTGTCACAAATCAGGAGTTGGTGGCAACAGGCTATTGGCATCCACAGGCTCAAGATGCTACTAAACATCTTTTAATGTACAAGAAAGCCACCCTCAACAAATAAGCATCTGGCCCAAAATGTCAACAGTGCATAAGTTGAGAAACCCTGCTTAAGGAACCAGGTTAGTGAAACATAGCCTCTTCCCAACACTTAGCCTAACATTTACATCACACTTACCACTCTGATTTATCTCTCAGTAGATTAGAACTACAGGTTACAAATTGCATACATCAGAATCAACTGGGGTGCTTTTTTAAAATGTACATTTGAGCCCTGACTACAGATTTAGGTATTGGTACTTAGCAAAAGCTCCTTAGACAATTCCAGTGGGCAGACAATTCGAATAGCAGGTTGGGAACCACCATAATTACTAGCAAGCAAGTAGAGGAGACTAAAAAAAAGTTACATAAGAAATGACCAAAACAACTGTGCCTATTAGCTTATATATTTATTATTTAATATTTGAAGGCTATGTTTTTAAAAAGCTGTACTATGGTGTCATCAAAGGTAAGAGCTAGGATTAATTGGGATTAGCTCCAGAAAGAGAGATTTTAACTCAACAAAGGAGAAAGTTTCCAACAAAAACATAAGAACTATCATGTATTTGTGGAGTCCTATGATGTGCAAGATACTACACTAAGTACCTTACAAATTAGATTAGATTTGTCAAAAGATGGAAAGGGGCCTCCTGGGCCATAAAAAGTACCTTGTCACTGAAGGTGACTGAATAGATACTGGATGACATGTAACAGGATATTGAGCCAAGAGTCAATCCTCAAATGGTTATACGGTTCTGCTATACCACAGCCCTAATCATAATTCACTAAAGAATGCTCTGAATTGAGGCTCAGTTCTAGGAAGACTGGGATGACAAGAAATGTGACCAGTCTGCTATAGGTGCTCTGCTAACACCTAGTGTCTCAAGAAAAGGTCGTTTAGTGCTCTGGGGTTTTCCCTGGAATAAAATTAAACAGAGACAAGAAAATGACACCTGATTTCACATACAGTCCTTTCACCAGCTGCAAGCACTCCAGCTGGGCAACAGTAAGCCTCACAGTATGGCAAGGGTATAAGCACGCATGTATATCAAACACACCACAGTAGGAAACTATTCTCGTCACATTCTTAGTCTTTCCTGAAACATCTTCTAAAAATTTTGTAATTCACTGACCATGATCCCCTCACAAGTATCTCTCATTTAAATAATTTCAAAAGAAATAAATTCTATAAACCAACTGTCCATGTTCTGCAGTTCTAAGTCCTTGCTAATTCTCAATGCAACTACCAAAAAAAATCTAAGCACAAACAACAAAATAAAAAATAGATAAACTGGCCTTCATCAAAATTAAAAACATCAGCACTGCAAAGGATACCATCAAGAAAGTTAAAAGACAACCCATAGAGAGAAGAAAATATCTGCAAATCATGTATCTAATAAAGGATTTATATGTAGAAGTACTCTTACAACTCAATATTAAAAGGATGGACAACTCAGTTGAAAAATAGGCAAAGGATTTAAATAAACATTTCACCAACTAAAACATACAACTGGTCAATGAGCATATGAAAAGATACTCAGCATCATTAATCATTAGGGAAATGCCAATCAAAACTTGGGATACTACCTCACAGTCACTAAAATAACTATAAGTCAATAAAACAAACAGTAACAAGTAACAAGTATTAGCAAGGATCTTTAGGAACTGGAACCCTCATACATTGTTGCAGGGGTGCAAAATGGTGCAGCCACTTTGGAAAACAGTTCAGAAGTTCCTCAGGATGTTAAATGTAGAGGTACCAGATGATACAGCAATTCTAACACCTAGTTATATATACCCAAGAGAAATGAACATATTATGTCCACACAAAAATATGTACATGAATATTCATAACAGTATTATTCATAATAGCCAAAACATGGGAACAACTCAAATGTCCATCAACTGATGAATGTGGTATATCCATACAAGAATATTATCTGGCCTTCAAAATATTGTGCTAAAAAGAAAGAAGCCAGTCACAAAAGACCACATTCATTCCATTCACTGAAAACATGGATTATTCCATTCACATGAAATGCCCAGAACAGACAAACCTGTAGAGACAGAAAGTAAACTAGCAGTTGCTTAGAAATAGGCTTTGGGAGGAATAAGGAAGAGACCAGGCATAATGGCAGGTGGCTACTAAGATTGTAGGGTATCTTTTTGGGGTGATGGAAATGTTATAAAATTTATTGTAATGGTTGCACAAAGCTGTGAATATACTAAAAAACATTAAATTGTGTACCTTAAGTGGGTAAATTGAATGGTATGTGAATTATATCTCAATAAAGTGGTTTAAAATAAAGCTGTCAGGAAATTCTGGAGAAATCACTAACTCTGAGCCTCACTGTAGGGTGATCTAGGCGAGCTGTGTGTTGGGAGCCCCTGGTACTAGCACGTTCAGGTCTTCCCTTGGTTGCATTCACCAAGGAAGAGGCTTCCAACATCCTCTGGAGAGTGAGGTTCTCTGCTTGACAGTGTTCTGGGAAAAAAATTTTTTTCAATCAAGACATGAATTAGGAATTTTCCTTAAGAGAATATAGTTTTGGTACAACTAGTTCTTCCTGCCAGAATAACTGACAATATTTTCCTGAGATCAAGAGGAAGGAAACTGACATTTACTGAGCCTCTGCTATGGGCTAGGCACTTCCCATTCTCTAGTATATTAATTTAATCTTTATAATAACCCTGTGGGAGTGACATTAGGTTACTATTATCATTCCATAGAAGAGAAAACTGAGGCTCAAGGAGTAACACAGCTAGGAAGTGGTGAAGTTCTGATGTCTGAATCCAATGCCTGAGCTCTACGCACTTTACTACAGCTGTCTTTGTTTTGGTTAGCCTCAGTTCAAATAGATCCTTCTCTATGAAAGAGCTCCACTGAGACAGTTCTTATGCATTTATATGAACCATGACCCTCTGACGAAATATGAGAAGTAAACTTAGGGTTATGTGGCTGGAAAATATTCCTTTTAGGAGGCAATGTGTATTGTGACAAGGACACTATATAGGGAAATGTAAGTAAGAAAACTTCTCGTCACTGAGTGATGTTGGACAAATAACTTAGCTTTTTTGAGCTTTAGGCTCTTTATTTATCAAATGAGAGTATTACACCAAATGAGCATTTGTTAAGATAGAAAACATATTACTGCATGGGCTTAGTGTAAATCAAGTATGTGGAAGTGTAAACTATAAAACACTATAAAAATGTAAATCATTACTATTAGGATTTTGGAGAAAGAAAATTCTGGTGGACAATTATATGCCAGTAGCTATACCACCAGTAGAAATGGACAGAAATTAAAATTTGCTCCAATTCCTAGACCTCATTTTAGTTGCAGTATGTTCAATGACAGATGTAACCCTGCAGTAAGACACTGTCCTCCTGGCTCCTGGATACTCATCACATCAGCCTAATCATATATCCCCTCAAGAGACAGAAGGCTTCCACTTTTACTCACTAATTTGGTTAAACTTTAATGTTTAACCATTTGTTACAGACCCCATGTTTGTATCTCTTTGAAGCCCTAATCCCAGGGTGATAATACTTAGAGCTGGGGCCTTTAGAAGGTACTTGGGGTTAGGTAAGGTCTGGGGGAGAGTGCCCTGGTCCCATGGTACTAGTGCCCTTTTAAGAAGAAATACCAGAGAGCTTGCTCACTCTCTCTTTCCACCACAGGAGGACAGAGAGAAGGAGTCCACCTCCAAGCCAGAAAGAGCTCTCACCAGAAACAGACCCTGCTAACCTTTGATCTGGGACTTCTAGGCTCCAAAACTGTGAGAAAATTAATTTAGCACCGCAATCAATGATACCTTGTTATGGCTATCCAAGCACACACTAAGACAACACTTAATGAAATAATATTGTCTTTCATTGGTAATTATGAAAATTATATCTTTGGCATATATGTTTCCATAATGCAATTCACATGAAAGAAAAATATAAAAAGTATTTTTATTTATAAATTTTTATTATAAAACTACAAGATTATATTAGGAAATCCCACTAGCAAATAGGGTTAAATTATTAATCTTGCTATTATGGGAATTAAAGAGCAGATGATTGAGGCTTTTATAACTTTAAAAAATACAAAATTGAGCCAGTTTATGAAGCAAGCAAATATGGAGAAATAATTTGTCTGTCACCAGAGTAACCCCAGTACCTAGAATAGTGCCTGACATGTAACAGGCACTCAATAAACATATATTGAATGGAGGGAGAGAAAGAAAAATTGATAAAGCACTATTTTAATCACTTCTTTCACTACTAAGTTGAGCAGATTCAGAATGTTTTCTGAATTACAGAAAGCAAGACTATTTCTGATACACTGCTATAGTCCCTTAGCCTAGGGCTGTACACACAGTATGTATTTAAATATATGTTGGATGAATAAAATGCCTTCCTTATTTGTTCTGCCTGTATAAATCTTGGCCGACCTTTAAGGAAAAGTCCAAATTCCACTTCTGAGAAGCCCTCCCTGCTACTCTATCCCGAGTGAATAGTTCCTTTAAACAAACACTACCTAGTAGCCCAGGCCACGAATCTAAGGGTCAGTGCTTTGATTACCCTCATTCTTTAACATCTCACATCCAAATCTATCAGCAAATCCTGGCAGCTCCATCTTCTAAATACACTCAAATACGACCATTTCTCACCATCTCCATCAACCCCACCTCCAGGCCAAGCCATTATCAACTGTCTTCTCAATTAAGGTCACAGCTTTTATTTTAAAAAAATTCTTAGTAGACCCTGTAAGATCTGATTGGGCCTCTGCTTACATCTCCAACCTTTTCTGTCACCACTTCCTTGTTGATTCTACTCCAGCCACACTGATAAAGCTCAATTCCACCTCATAGCTTTACACACACTGCTCCCTCTGCTTGGACTATTCTCCCAAGATCTTCATATGGCTCAGTTCTCAAATGCCCTCACTGAGAGAGATCTCCTCTATTGTCTGTCTTATCTATACACCACCCAACTTTATATTCTTTATCTATTTTCTTATTAATTATTACCCTCCTTCAACCAACCACCTATTACCACCACCAACAGAATGTAAGTTCCTGGTGACAGGGTAGGTATTTTGTATTGTTCACTTTTTTCTAATACCAACAACAGGGTCTGGCACTTAATAGACACTCAATAAATATTTGCTGCTATTATTATCTGTAAAAATCATCTGCCAAGTAACCATGGAAATCTTTAAGATGTCTTTTCCCTATTTCTGCTTATCCACTTAAATAATTTTTCCTGTTGTATAACTTTTTCCTCCTTCAGTGACAGAGATCATGTCTTAAATCCTTCATATGTTCAACATATAGTTCAAAATATGTACTAGTTCTGGTTTCCCCCAAAATATCAAAGTATTTTATTTTGTAGATAGTAACTGTTTTTAGAATAATTTCCAAATTTGTGGTAAAAACTGACAATGGTATTTCTTAAAGGATAAATCACAACAGTTGACACTTACTTCTAGCATCCGTCTTATCTGACTCACTGAGACCTAAATCATCCTTGGCATCGGTGCTTCCCTCAACACCATGTCTTGTAAAAAATTTCATATTGTCTTCATCAATTTCATCCTCATCATCTGTGTCATATTTCTGTAGCCCCTCCAATAGCTTTACTGCTGCCAAATGGGCAAACCTATAGAAAATAATCAGTAATTAACAAGATACACAATCTTCTTCAAACTGAAACCGCAGATAGCACTTAATTTAGGGAATTACATTCTGTACACTATGCCACCAACCCACACACCAGTAAAGGAGCAAACCCTCTGAAGGCCAGTGGCAATCTGACATATATCCAAGTAGGTGGGACACTTAAACAGTTCCTGGACACTAAGGAGGGTCATATTAAAGACTCATAATTTTTACTGGCAAAAATCCAACTAGAAGAAGAGACCCAATATCAAAATAATATTTCAAGTGCCTCCAGCAGAGCTTTTCAACTGAATAAAAAGCCCAGAACAACTATGTAATTTACCACATTTTCTGATGGCCTAATTTAGACTAGAATTAGTTCTGGTTCCAGCTTTAGGGCTAAATATAGCTCTAGCCACCTTAATTTTCATCCTTCTTCAACCCAAAGCAATTGGCACGGCTTTGAAATTTAGTGGAAAAATAATGACTTTTCCATCCATATTTACTATTTCTTTGATCTTTCACATATCTCTATGAAGCTTCCAAAAATAAACCCTTGGTTTTGGAGTTGTTATTATTGTGATTGTATATAATCTGCATATTTTTTTCCACACTTCTGTCAGTTGAAATATTTACTGCTTTCTCAGATATAGAGAATTATACACTAAACACAAAAGCCATTTTAAGTCCTATTTTTTTTTTCAAATACTTACATAACCACATGCAGGTGCACACATAGATCCTTACCTTTCACCAGGAACTGCATTAAAGATACGATAATAAACATATGCAGGAAGTTGTAAGGTTTATAGAATTCATTATCTCTACACTAGATTGTAATGTAACAGTTAGCATTTCCTGAGTACTTGCTTTTTGCCAAATTCAAGGTTATTTCTATAAGACTCCACTCAACACCTAGCATTTTGGTGCATGAACGACAAAGAAATGTGAACCAAAAATTGTGAATAACTCCAAACAGATACACCCATAGTATTAAATCATCCACTTGATACTGGTGAAAAGGTAAACAAATAGATCAATAGACAAAGTACAGAGTCCAGAAATAAGCCCACACATAGATAGGCAACTGGCTTGGACAAAGATAAAAAGCCAGTACACTAGAGAAAGGAACTGGGATGTGTACCTCATATCATGTACAAAAATTAACTCAAAATGGATCATAGACCTTAATGTAAAACCTGAAACTGTACATCTAAAAGAGCACATAAGAGAAAGTCTTTTGACTTTGTGTTAATCAAAGATTTCTTAGATATGATACCAAAAATATAATCCATAAAAGAAAAAACTGATAAAAACTTTTGCTCTCCAAAGACATTGTTAAGAGAATGAAAAATGAGCCACAACTAGGAGAAATCTTTGCAAAACAAAAATCTGGATTGTTTCCTTACTGTTGAGTTTTAAGAACTTTTTTATATATTCTGGATTCTAGTTCTTCAATCTTAAAAAGTGGACCAAAGATCTAAACAGTCACTTCATCAAAGAGAAGTGTACAAATGGCAAGTATGTATAAGAAAAGATGCTCAAAATTATTTTTCATTAGGAAAATGCAAATTAAAATCACAGTATGATACCACTATATACCTGTCAGAATTACTAAAATAAAAAAACCCTGACCATATCAAATGCCAGTTAGATAAGCACCAACAGAAACTCTCATTCATTGCTGTGGGAATGCAAATTGGTATGGTTACTTTGGAAGGCATATAGGCAGTTTCTTACAAACATTCGTTTAGCAAATGACCCAGCAATCCTACTAAGTATTTACTCAAGTAAACTGCAAACTAATGCTCACACAAAAACCTGTATGTGAATACTTATAGCAGCTTTTTTCATAGTCACAAAAAAAAAATGGATACAATCAAGATGCCCTTCAACAGGTTAATGTATGATCAAACTATGGAATTCTACTCAGCAGTAAGAAGATGAACTTCTAATACATGTGAATGAATCTCAGAATAATTATGCAAAGTACACAGAAAACAAGTAGTGACTCTACAGCATCTCACTACCCTAATGGACAGTGACTGCAATGGGATTTTGGGGGGGACTTGATAATATGGGTTAATGTTGTAACCACAATGTTGCTCCTGTGAAACCTTCATAATATTGTATATCAATACCTAAATAAAAAATAAAAAAAATAAAAAAATTATGCTAAGTGAAAGAACCAAATATCTGAGTATGTACTATATACTTCCATTTATATATAACTCTAGAAAATGCAAACTCATCTATAGTGACAGAAAGCAGATCAGCGTTTGCTTGGGGAAGGAGCAGTGGGAAGTAGTGGAAGGGAGATTATAAAGGACTACAAGGAAATTTTGGAAGGGGGTGGATATGTTTACTATCTTGATGGTGGCAATGGTTTCACAAATATACATATAACAGCACTCAACAGTTCATACTGTACAAATATGTATAATTTACATTATTGTCAATGATACCTTAATTAAGCTGTTTTACAAAATTGGAGGGGCCTGAAGTGATAATGATCTGAGACAAGTGGTACAACAAAACCACACTCCAAGGCTTCAAAGAAGCCTCACAGACAAAATCTTAAGGAACATGAACGCACAAACAAAAATTGCATGGTGATTTAATGAGTGATGAGGTACGCCCCTGCACCCTGTCAAGCCTCCTTTGCAACTTTAGCCCACATTTCTACTTCAGGTTCAAACAGTTCTGAACTACAAGCAGTTCCTCAAGCACACAGGTATTATCTTGGAATTCTTCCTCTTTCAAGTGTCAGCATAAATGTCGCTTTCTCCAAAACAAAAACAGTTTTCCTTGACATCTCTGAATTCTGTCCCCCTGAAATTTCCTCCATAATTCCTCCCCACATTTCTTCCCCACAACTTTGAAATAAAAAGACTTGGGTCCTTTTTCTCTCATGTTCTTACTGTACCTTGCTCATAACATGTAATATGAGATAATGATTATAATTAATAATTAACGTTTGCACATTCATTTCTCCACCAGACTATTAAGCTCTTAAAGGCAAGGACTGTGTTTTTCATCTTTGTAATCCTAATGCAAGCCACAGGACATGGAACATGGTAAGTATTCAGGAATTTGAATGAAACAACCAAATGGACAAAATGGATGGACTAAATATTCCTTGAGGACCTGACCTGAATGAGCTGGAGGTGGTCCATTAAGAAGTGCTACATTTAGTTTGAAGTAAATACCAAAATTTGTTTCAAAACCCATGTGACTCCTTTTGATTACTCCTTTTCATCACATATTTCTCAACAGGTACCACCATTTGTGTTGGACAATTCTTTGTTGTGCATCACTGTTCTGAGCATTACGTGACATTTAGCATTCCTGGACCTGACCTCACTAAATATTTCTGATGGTCTCCAGTCACTGTGACAACCCCCATCTTGACATTTCCAAACTCCCCTCCTGCCAGGCAAGGGGACAAAATCTCCCCCAAGTTGAGAATCACTGCTTTAGAGGGAAAGCTGATAGACTGTCAAATGTCAACGCAGATTGAAAATTGTCATTCCATCAGCATTTGACTGAGTCCTATAATTCCATTAAATCTTCAGAGATGTCTGAGTATATACAGTATATGCAAAACTTTAAAAATAAAAGAAAGGAGCAAAGCAAATGGAGATACCTCTTAGCCACATCACTGGGTTTCTCCAATGCTTTGTTGGTAATATTGCTGTCTGCTCCCATTTTAATTAACCACTGCAAACACTCAATATGGCCTTGTCCAGCAGCTATAACAAACAAACAAATAAATAAATAAATAACCAGAAAAAAATTTTAGAAGTTATTACCAATAACAATTCTCTGAAATTTTAGGCGGTACCATTAAAAAGTACTTTCCTAAGTATTTATCCTTGCAATAAGCAACAAAAGTAGGTTGGGCAGATGTTATTTTCTCTATTTTATTTATTCATTCATTAGACAACACTTAATCAAATATTTATTGTGTTTAGCCCCTCTACAGCTATAACAATTGAAGCTCAAAGAGGATATTTAACATCACATAGCTAGGAAGTAATGAACTTGAAACTTTAATCTTGATTTTTCTAATCCTTTTCCATTGTTTGCTTGCTATTAACTCCTGTCCAGTCTTGTATCAGACCAGACTCTGAGCACAATCCAGCCGTAAGGACCCACACTGGCTTTGAAAATCTTGTGCCACCTTATGTAAAGAGCTTATACCTCTGGTCCTTAACAACTCAAACTTTACAGGCCCCTCCCTGATTATCTAAACTATTTACCACCTTTTTCTAAATCTTGTCCTGAAAACATATGCCCTCAGTATTAATTTTCACCTCCACAATTCTGTTTATGTGTCTTCTTACATAGTGGCCATCACGCAATTATGTGTTCTTCTAACTTTTACCCATCCTTCTAGGTCCATCTCAAGACTTGGGAAAACTGTGAGAAAAAAACTAATAGACTTAAAAGATCTGAATTTAGGTCTACTAGACAGTGAGACTGGAGGACAGAACAGAACTTAACAAGTAGCTGGCACATATATAGATCCTTGATAAGTGTCTATACAGAGTTAATGAATGAAAAAATTAATTACTTCTGAACTGCCATGAACACTTCCTCAATAATTTAAACCTTAGCAACTTCCTCTGTTCCTCAATTCCTACTCCTGAGCTCCTATTGCATGTATTTTAACAACCAAACACTTTTCTCTACTAATTATATCATGACTTACACAAGTCTCTAGTTGTTCATGGTATAAGTATGTAGCCCCTTAACAGTAAGGTCTGGATCTCATGTCTCCATGGGGCAAGCACATGGGTGGTGCTGAGTAACATACCTCTGTAAAATGCACCAAAGAGTTGGAACTTTTGATATGACTTTGATGCCTCAAAAAGTGAATGTACCTCCAATACTGGCAACAGAGAGAAGACACAAAACCAGATTCAGTGGTGAAGCAACCCTATCACTACAGCCCTATGGCCCAGCTTATGAACGGTCTGTAAGAACTCTTCCTGCCCCTCTCTACTTGACTCAGAGCCATCTGCCAAACTCAAAATTGGCTCCTAAAGACCCTGAGGCTTCTCTCTCTCCTACAGAAAATCTAAAACCAGCCAATAAATATTACTACAGGATTCCCTGAACCTCTAGAAATAACCCCACTTCAAACAAAATAACAACACACTTTGTCTTTAAGAGTTTCAAAATCATATTTACGAGTCACAGATAATTGCAAGTTTTACTAAAATGAGTTTATAAGATAGAATAACGCAGCATTTCCGTTTTATTACACAGGTAATGTTTACAAAGTGGGGGGAGGGCCTAAGTAATTAATCTATAATAAAATACAACGAAACGATTTTTACCCAAGATCCTTACTGCATATTAATTAGAATATGTTGATTAGTTTGATCGGTGTTTTATAAAAGAACAAGATAAAATTATGCAGTGGCTAGAAATTTTTAAGAAATGATTTGATAATTATGACTTAAGAGCAAATGAAAGAAAGGAAAATTCATACTGGATTTAACAATCATTAAATGACTATGAAGAATGCCTCAATAGTAAATACTGCAACTTACTGAATTAAAGGAAAAGAAACAGATTGAAAAAATGTGGGAAACATGAATTAAATTATAAGGAGACATTAACTTTTATTTACCCAATTTGTATATGATATAAACATACAGACTTTTCCCCAGGAAAAGGCTAATGTACACAAAATGCTTCCTTCCCCAGCTGTAGTCACTCCTCACCCCTCCACCACACCATCTGATCCACCCCTGGCTCCCCGAGTCCTTAGGGATCAGACTGACAAGAGAAGGAGTGAAGGGCAAACCCCTCTGGTTCCTCCGTACATTCACCTTCCAACTTTTTCACCACAGCTGCATCCCAAACACCCGTTGCTGTATATCAATTAATGAAACTTAATTTATCATTACCCTAAAGATTCATTAGAAGCACCATGATTGACTCTATTTTTTGCTAGCGTCTAAATGATACCCCATATACACATTAGCAATAAAAACCAGTTATATATATGATAGGAAGGGGAGTTTTGCTCCAGGGCACCGTATTAAAAAAAAAAACGTATTCACATTTTAAGTCTCCCCATTCACAAATCCCACAGTGAAGAACTTAACCCTCAGCAGCCAGTAGAAATACAAGGAGCAAGATTCTCTAAGTCTAGGGTAGTGTTTACCAAAGTGAGGACCTCTCTACATGGGAGAAACCCCCTTCACATTCCTTCCTTCTTCCTGCTCCACCCACACATTCTCTCTTATAAAACTACTGCTGTAATGATGCTTAGATTCTGTACTTGAAATCATTATGAATTGAACAAACTTTAATGATTTAGCTAAGAATCTAACTAACAGGAACATTAGCTGTGATTAGACTGCCAGAAGTTATTTAGAAAATAAAGTCCAATTCAGACATAAGATGATATTAATAAGCCTACCTTCTTTTTACTCTAAGACTTTTGTAAGAACTACCTGCCACCAGATTATAAGGAAATTTATTACATAAATATCACCAATGAAGCAGAATGGGAATATCAGGTACAGCAGGTTAAAGATTTTGGTTTTTATTTTATAAAAAATAAATAAGAATTAGTCCTAGAGTATATACTCCCTGTTTATTTGACAATTTGATAAAGTTTGATTTAAAAAAAGCAAAAAAACTGATTAATATTTTAGAATTCCACATGGAAGGAAGGAGAGTGCAGAGGAACGTGGGAGACATCTTGAAAATGTTCAAATCTAATGTCCATTGATATTTCTATAGAAATAAAAACATTTTTTGCAGAGTAAAAGAAAATTCTGCTAATCCCTTTTTCTTAAGAGAGAGGGTTTTTGTTTGAGCATGAATTAATAGGTCATTTTTAGTCCAAAGAAAATGTTAGTCCTAAGAAACTTCTCTAGCAGTGAAATTCACTCACATGACAATGTCATAAGAGAATTTCTATTGGAATTACTCTCAAATATGGTAATGTGTGAATGTCTGATGTCATAAAAGGAATACTGCACTTGAATTGAAAGTTGAGCTCTCTGTCTACCATGTAAGGTAGACTGATCCCCCTTAGGATATTAGGAAAAGTTTCACATTTTCATGTGTGGATAATTATTTTAAAAGACAACAATTGATTCAAAACTGAAAATGAAGCAGGAATCATAACTAACCTTTATGCATAGGAGTTGATCCATTATTATCACGTTCATTAATATTGATTACTCCATCTTCTAGTAATTTCTTAAGCACTTCCAGATCACCCTTAAAGGCAGCCACGTGACCTGGAAATGCTAAAGCTATGAATAAAAAATTCAGCATTTCAGTAAACACATGAGTTCCTTTTTTCTTTCCCTGCCTTATGCAGTCACATATTTCAGGTTTTAATATTAACTCAAGCATGAGAATTAGAATTAGTTGGGTCGATGCAATGACAAATAATAAAAAGAGAATCATAAAATAAGATTATTACTTGCTGTACAGTCCATCTACCCTTCAGGACCTCAAACATGTCACTAGTAGTATTGTACTAGAACTATTCTTAGCCATATTCCCTTTTTCCCTCAGACCTCCATGAAATACCAGATGGTCATTTTCAACCCTTTGTATAAAGATATATTTGGTCTCAAGTCCTACATTTGCACAGACCACTCCTTGTTTGTAAGGAATATGCACAAAGAGGATAAGAATATGTGTGTACGTATACAAATACAAACACATATATTACAAGTATGAAAATATCTGACCTACTGCCTAACACATAGTAAATACCTGATAAAATGTTCTTCATGATAACAACTACATATACTGAGCCCTTACTGAATTCTAGGCATGGTAGTAAGCACTTAGAAGGACTGCCTTATTTAACCCTCTTAACAACTCTGAGAAATAGCTATTCTCATTTTACACATGGAAAGGAAACAAGCTAGAATAGCCAAACAGTATTTTTAAAAGAACAAAGTTGAAGTCTTTCAGTATCTGATGCTGTCTTACTATAAAGCTAGAGTAATCAAGACAGTGTAGTGATGGTAAATAAACAGACATATCAACAAGACAGAATGCAAACACCAGAAATAAATTACACATATATAGTTTTGACAGAACAGCCAAGATATTTCAGTGGGGAAAGGAAATTCTTTCCCAAAAAAATGGCTCTGGGACAAGTGGTTTTGTCTTTAAAAAATGTTTTAATCACTTTATTTCACTCAATCATAAAATTTAACTTGATGTAGATAAAAGATTCTGAATTAAAAAGTTAAAACTGTAAAATTTCTAAACCACATAGGAAGATATGGGGGGGACAAATATTTCATAATAGGACACAAAAAACATGACTTGTAAAAAAAACTGATAAATCGTACTTAATCAAAATGTAAAACTTTTACTCTTTGAAAGATACTGCTAAGAAAACAGGCAAGCTTCAGAATGGGGGGAAATATGTGCGATACATATATCTGACAAAATGTAAGGAATTGTCAGAATTCATAATGAGTAGATAAACAACCGAATTAAAAAATGGGCAAAAGAATTAAACAGACATTTCATGAAAGATACATGAATGTCCATATGAAAAGATGCCCAATATCATTAGTTACCAGGAAAATGAAGATTAAAACTAGAGTAAGATGACACTACACATCCATTAGAATGGTTAAAATAAAAACAGGCTGACCCTATCAAGTGTTGGCAGTTCCAGGAGCAACTTTGGAAAACAGTTTGACAACTTCTTAAATTAAATATACACCTATCATACCCCACTCTTAGATATTTATCAAGAGAAATGCAAACATATGTCCACATAATGCTCAGAGCAGTTTTATTAATAATATCCCCCAATTGGAAATTATCCAAATGCTCATCAGTAGGTGAACTGATAAAAACAAAATATGGCATATCTGTACAATGGGATACTATTCAGCAATTAAAAGGAATGAACAACTAATATACATAACACAGATGAATCTCAAAATGCTTCTGTTAGAAAATTCAAACTAATCTACAATGACAGAAAGCAAATCAGTGGTTATGTGGGGCCACGGTGAAAGGAAAGGTAAACTGGAAGAGGGTATGAAATAACCTTTGAGGTGATGGAAATGTTTTGTATCTTGATTGTGATGGTGGTTTCATGAGTGTATACATATGTCAAAACTCATCAAATTACACATTTTAAATGAACAGTCTATTATATGTATATATGCAATCAACTTTAATAAATTTGATTTTAGAAAAAACATCATAAAGTAAAAAACAGGCCACAGGTGAGAGAAAATATCTGTATCAGATAAAAATTAATAAAGGATTGGTATGGAGACTATATAAAGAACTCACATTACTTAGAAAATATGATTTTTTAAAGGACACAATTTTTTAAGAGGGAGAAAGGTATAGGCAGGCAAATCATAGAAAAGAAAACTAGAATAGCCAGTAACTTTATGAAAGGATGTTCAACCACATTAGTAATCAAGAAAATGCAAATCAAACACAAATAAAACCTTTTCATACCTAACCAATGGGCAAAACTTTTAAAGTCTGACAATACTGAATATTGTTTCTCTGTGAGTTCTAACCAGTTTGCTAATGAGAGTCTAAATTTCCGTAACCACTGTGATAAAGAATGTAGCAAACCTATTTATACTGAAGATGGACATATCCCACCAAGCCAAACCTAAAGCAGAGTTTTCCAGTTATGTACAAGGCAGAGCTCTTAACTCCCAGTCTTCAGAGAAGATAGGCAATACCTCAAGAAGACTCATTCAACAACCCCAGTGTGCCACAAATATCTTTCTCTATATGGGCTACATGTAGAAAAGCTAGGGAGGCATGCCTCTAAAGAATCTCTTATCCATGTACAAATGGAGACATGTACAACAATATACATTACCACACTGACTGTAATAGTGAAAGCTGTAAACAATCTAAATGTCAAACTGAGGAATGGATAAATAATGTTTCTTATAAAATGTAACACTGCAAATGCTTGAAAAAAATAAATTAGTATATATCTATCAACTAATCTCAAAAACATAATATTTTTATGAAAAGCAAATCATAGAAGCATACATATTGTTTTATGCCATTTTATAAAGTTTTGGAAGTTTCAAAGACTGCTACTTGTCCACTAAAATCTCCTTCCTTCAATAGTATATCAGTTGCAACTCAGATGAATCTTCCCTAGGTACTTAATTCTCCAAGCTTCCTTGCAGCTAGGTATGGTCATGTGACTAAACTCTTGCCAAAAGAATGTTAGCAGAAGTGACAAGTACAAAATAGACCTTGAAAATGACTGCTCCTAGGTTTATACTCTTGCCCTCTCCCAACCTCCTGCTGAATTAGCAGCAACTAGAGAGAAAAAGTACAGAAGATCCCAGGTCCCTAAATGACTACATAGAACTGGCATATAAAAGAAATATACTTCTATATTATTTAAGCTGCTAAGTTTTAGGATTTTTTATAGTAGTTTAGTCTATGACTCTAAGAGGACATAAAACAATATTGTATATTTTTGTGAGTACATATATACTAAATATAAAACCATAGAATGGAATTATGTATCCAAAACAATGGTTACCTCTAAGGAAGAAAAAAAGGGAATGGTATTAGGGAAAGAGATCCAAGAAGCTTCAACTGTATCTACAATATTTTATTCTTAAATCCAGTGGTACAAAGAATGTTCATTACATTACACTATATTTCTGCCTACAAATTTCATAATAAGAAAAGAATCTGGATGAATATGTGGACAATAATATGTAACATATTTTCATGTAACATTTGCCTAACTTCTTTCTTTTCTTTTTCCATTTATTCTACTTATTAAATGCTAAAACATTTCAGATTTATTACTTACCTTCCTGATCTTTTGGATCATTTCCTTCATACTCAGCCCCCTGGATAAACTGTAAAATGTTCTTCTTAAAGAACCTCTGGGCCAGGTCCATAACATTTTCTCCATTATCATTGAAGGCTTTTAAAGCTTGTGTTGTATTGCTCATTCTACTGAGTAGGAATTTAAAACAGTGAAGGTGGCCTTCCATGGCTGCTAAGTGAACTATAAGTGAGAAAAAAAAAGAATTTAGTTTTTAAACTGGCCATAAAAATACCTTGGAAAAAGAAATAACACACTGGCCCTAATCCTCATAGGGAAATGACCATCCCTGCCCTATGTAACAGGGTCGTAGTCTCGGCAAGGATTAACAGACCTTTTCTCCAGCCTACATATCCTGACTCAGCCTTCTAGTCATGCCAAAAGCAATAGACCAAATGCTTGAATGGTTACACTGACTGTGAGTGTAGAGAGGCTGAGGGTCACCAAAAGGCAGGCCCCAGAAAATTTTCTTGGAACGTGATATCCCAATTATGCAGCTTATAATTACATGAGAAAATACTTGCTATGTAATATAGGTGATAAATGGAGATATAAATTTTAATATTTGGGGAAAAAGTGGAAGAAATAAACCAAAATAGTCACTATACAAATATGAATGATGTTATTTTTACCACTGTGTATTTTTCCACTTCTCCATAAACTATTATTATTTTTATTATAAACAAGAAGACTGGATCAAAAATGCAGACTAAACATGCATACTACCTCACCATTTCTACTCTAAATCCTTAAAAATAAAAGATACTTTTCAAAGCCGTAAAGGAGTAGAAAAACAAACAAGAACACCTTGAACAGACAAGAAATATTAAGGAACCCCTGAAAGAGAATATATTGAATCAGACTGAGGGAGAGCTACACCCAAAATCTACAAATAATGGGAATGGTTCTGGGGTACTTTCCTGAAATGTTCTTTCCTCGGGATATCCACAATATGCTCCCTCAACACCTTTAGGTCTTTATCCAACTGCCATCTCTTCAGTAAAGGCTTCCAAGACCTTCCCTGACACTACTTTAAACTTCAACCCCTCTAACACTCCCTTTTCTATTTTATCCAAACACGTATCCGTATTTAACATAATATATGTTTTTTTCACTCATTTTTGTTATTGTCTGTGTCCCCCTTACCACCACATGAAGGCGACTTTGGTCTGTTTTATTTGCTTTGATATCCCTAGCACCTAGAAAAGGGACTAACACATAGTAGATGCTCAATAAATGAAGGTTGAATTAATAGTTTTTTAAGAGGTTTGAATACAAGCAGTCTAATCCTGAAGCTACATTCTGAACCTCCACATCATGCTATTTAAAAATATACTATACATGGTTATAAAATAATTATACATGTTTAAAGAAATAAAAGTTTGATCTTTTTTTAATTAGCAGACAACAAAAAGAGACTTTACAAAAATGATCAGGCATATTAAATAAAAAAATTAAATAAAAATGAAATTTCCTCCAACTTTGTATTACAGAAAAGTCCAAGTAGGTTAGAGATCTTAATGTGAAAGTAAAATAATAAAATTTCTTGGAAAAATACAAAACAATGTATGCATGACCATAGAGTAGGGAAAGAATTTTTTAACAGGGATCTAAAAGCACTAACCATAAAGGCAGAGCTTACTAAACTGAACTACATTAAAATTAAAACCTCTATTCACCAAAAAATACCTTAAAAAATGAAAAAGCAAGTCACAGAATGGAAAGGATACTTGCAACACATGTAAATGACAAAGAGCTTGTATCTAGAATATATAAGGCATGCCTACAACTCAATAAAAAATAGGCAAAAGATTTGAACCAGTACTTCAAAAAAGAAAATAACCAAATGACCATTAAACATATGAAATGATGTTCTACAACTTTAGTCATCAGGGAATATGTAAATTAAAACCACAATGAGATATTACTATATGCCTCAAAAGTGACTAAAACTAAAAAATCCAATAACATCAAGTGTTAATGAGAAAGTAGAGCAACTACTTCAAAAGTTTTAAATACTGCTCATGGATGTATGAATTGATAATATCCACTTTAAAAATCAAAAGAAGCCAGACACAAAAGAGTATCAGTTTATTATTCTAGTCCAGAGAGTTCAGAAAGAGAAAAATACTGATTTTTATGTTAGAAGTCAAGGTAGTGATTAACTTTGGAGGTTGGTAGTAACCGGAAAAAGGACATTAATGAGATTATTTCATTTCTTGGTCTGGCTATTGGTTACAGAGAAGTGTGCATTTGTAAAATTCAATGAGTTATACTTTTGGATTGGGCACTTTCCTGTTTTCATGTTATACTTCAATTTAAAAATCTATTTTAAAAAAGAAAGAGAAAGAGAGTGGAATACTCCTTTCCAGAAAAACAAATATTGGGAAAGTTCATACTAATAGACCTTTATTAAATGAACACTAAGGAATGTACTTCAGAAAGAAGCAAAACAGTCCCAGATAGCAGTGTAAAGGATGGAAGCTGAGGCCAGGGAGGTGGGTACAAGCCCACTAAGGTCCGGCATGCCAAGCTAAGGAATCAGAGCTCTATAGGGATCTAGGGAGTTTTTTAAGTAACAAAGTGATTTGATGAACCCAATTCATATTATTGTGCCTGAACTTCCCCTTCATTTGTTTGCTGCTTAAGATTCCATTAAGACATAATTCAAGCATCATTTTCAGTAACCCTCTATTCTCACTGTGATCTATCACTCTTCCAAATTTCTTTAACATTTCATAGAAGAGGTGTTTAGAGTATCAGTTTCAACTGGCCAGTTGACTGCAGGTGAGACAACTGCAGTTTGAAAATGAACTGAAATACATTAGTGTCCACTATTTACACTTTTTTTTAAGTAGTCTGTGGAACAGACATGTGAAATTTAAAAATAGTTAATACTAGACAGTGGATGAAGGAAACAGCTAATGGGAAGAGTAAATCCAAGTTTAATTTTACCAATTTCTCTTTTACCAATATGGTTTCAGAAAAAAAATCAGTCACACAACAGGTACATAGCAGAGGCATAATATGAGATAAAAAATGTTCATGTCAACATATTTACTGCTTTAGTTTTGTAAGGGGCTAATTAAAATAATGACAGTTTAAATTTCTGAACATGACCAAACATTTTTAGTTAACATTAATGAAAAAACAAAGTATTTGCTTTTGTGAATACTTGGAAGGTTTCCATTGTAGTCCACATCTTCTATGCCGCATCCCCATTTAACTAGAAGTTGCAAACAGCCAAGCCGTCCATGAAAAGCTGCATAATGTACAGGTTTCCATTCTCTCTTATCAGTCACGCTGGGATCCTAGAAGTAACATTCACAAGGATTCAGTTTCTTTCCATTTTATAGGGGAAACACTAAAGTTTAGTACCTTCAGTTTGCAAAGAATTGAAGGCTGTTCTTAAAACTATAAGGCAAACCCTAAATATAATAGAAAAACTTACTGCAACCACTGATTTGAACATACAAGCTGGTACGATACTAATGAAATTATAGAACAGTCTTTTTAAAAAGAACATAACTAGTCAGATAAAAAGAGCTTTTAAAAAGGAACATAGAGGTGGGTCCAAGCATAGGGGATACATGAAACAAATGAAAGGAAAAAAATTAGTGAGAATGTTTAATATCTTGATCTGGGTGACAGTTACATGAATATGTACACATGTCAAAATTTGGCAAGCCATACAGTAAAATGTGTGCATTTTTTGTATGTACCTCAATATAAAAAATTTTTAGTGCATTTTTTCGAACTCTAGAAATATTTTTAAAAATAAATAGGAACTTAACTAGTCATTTCACAGGTCATAGTTTCCTAACCAATAAAATGAAAGGGATAGATTCATATGATTAAATCATATCTTTGAGAGCAATGAACAAAGAGTTACTGAAAAAATACATACTAGGTTTTTTCATTTTTTCTCTAACTATAGAAACACCAGCTCTTACCATAATATTTTCAAAACAGGTAGTTCTTTTCTTATAAGCAGTTATTTTTATAAATGTATAGAAGTACTAAAGTACCATCTTATACAACAGAAACTAATATAATAGATGTCAATTATAATTCAATAAGAAAGTTTTTCTATAACTACTGGATAATATAAAAATTAAATATTGCAATAAGTGAAATTTGTGGAGCTATAAATCACTTTCTAAATGAGTGTATAAAATAAGAGTTGCAAAAGAAACACAGGTGAACACAGAGAAACTCAGAAAGATTTACAATCACTGGTCAAGATGTGTTTGGAAGCTTGAGAACCTTCCCAGTTATACCTCTGAACGGACACGGAGAACCCAAAGCCTCTGAAATACTCTGTACTCCCAAACTATTATCTAAATTATTGGTTCCAGGTTTAAAGATGGAAAAGCTACAGAGAGAGATCAAATTACTTCCCTAAAGTCACGTAAGAGATTTAAAAGTCAGGAAGAGAAAACCAGACAAACAAATGCTACTCCATCTATGTTATTTTACGTTCTCACATAGTAACAGGAATCCCTCACCACTCCACTTCGGAGCATTATTTGTAAAGTGAAAGAATGTCCATGTGTTGCAGCAAGGTGTAAAGGAGTGCATCCATGATTGTCCTGTGCTGCCAGATTTGCTCCATTGATTGTAAGAGCCTATAAATACAGAAATAAAAATGAATTTACATGAATATAGATGTTAAATCTATAGATGTCATATATAATCTCTTTATATACAGACAGATGTTAAATGCTGAAGCAGATTATTTAAAGATAAGCAATTTTTATTAACCTATAGCTAAATTATTATATATGTTCTTACATATGTGCCACAGGCAAAACAAAGTGTGAGAAATTCTTAGCTAATCCTGAGAGCCTTTTTAATGTTGCCTAGGAGACATTTATAATACCTAATTTCATATTGATTTGAGTATGTACATACAATTTATAAGGTACTTTTAATGAGCACAGATTAATAACCAGTTAAATATCTTAAAGTTAAGCTAATAAAACTGAAAATTAAACTTACACAATTTCAAAAGCAGAATCTTTTATTAACTGGGTTTTGAATACAATAAAAAGAGTCTAACTTAACTCTCTTATTACACTATTATAAATAAATCTGAAGATTCCTTTTTTTTTATCCCCTCTTTTTCTTCCTCCTCCACTCTTTATATATTAGGTATCATATTCTGTACTCTTTGTATATCCCTTGACTAACTTTGTGGGTAGCTGATTTAATTTTACATTTGGTTAGTATTTAATTGTGTATTTCCTTTACTGTGTTTTATTTCCTACACTGTGACAACTATTTAGCCTTAGGAACACTTTCACCTAGAGCAGTCCCTTTAAAATACATTGCAGAGATGGTTTCTGAAAGGTAAACTCCCTCAACTTTTGCTTATCTGGGAATTGTTTAATTCCTCCAAATTTAAATGATAATCTTGCTGGGGAGAGTATCTTCATTTGAGGCCCTTCTATTTCACTGAATTAAATATATTATGCCACTCCCTTTTGGCCTGTAAGGTTTCTACTCAGAAGTCTCATGGGTAGCCTGATGGATTTTCCTTTGCAGATGATCTTTTTTTTCTCTCTGGCTGTTTTTAATACTCTGTCCTTGTCCTTGATGTTTGCCATTTTAATTATTATATCTCTTGGTGTTGTCTTTCTTGGGTTCCTTGTGTTGGGAGATCTGTGCACTTCCATGGTCTGAGAGACTCTCCTTCCCCAGTTGAGGAAGTGTTCAGCAGTTATTTCTTCAAAGACATTTTCTATCCCTTTTTCTCTCTCTTCTTCTTCTGGTACCCCTACAATGGGAATATTGTTCCATTTTGATTGATCACACAGTTCTCTTAATATTCTTTCATTTCTACAGATCCTTTTTTCTCTCTGTGCGTCAGCTTCATTGTATTTCTCTTCTCTAATTTCTATTGCATTTACTCTCTCCTCTACCTCTTCTAATCTGCTTTTAAATCCCTCCATTGTTTGTTTCATTTCAGTTACTATCTATGTCCCTCCTGAATTTGTCCTTAGCTCTTGGATATTTTTCTGTAGCTCCATTAGCATGCTTATGACTTTTATTTTGAATTCTTTTTCAGGAAGATTGGTGATTTCAATTTCACTCAGCCCTCTTTCTGGTGTTTGAGGGATTTTGGATTGAACAAGGTTCTTCTGCATTTTCATAATTCTATTGCATAGTGGGAAATATTAGGTTTGTGTAGATGGCATCATCTAGTGCCCAGAAACCCTGCTCTTTGGAGCTGCCCTGTACCTGGAGAGATGGCAGTGGAGTGGTTGCAGGCGAGGAGAACAAGTGCCTGCTGGGTGGACAAAGCCCTTTCCTGCTTCCCGGCCATAGTGCCTGCCTCCGCTGTCAGGACCAGTGAGCCGTGCACAGGGAGCAATCTCTGCGTTAATCCCCTAAGATGCCATGGGCAGGGCTGCCTTCCTACTGGTCTGGAGTGATGGCGGTGGTCACAGGCAAGCGGTACAGGGGCCTGCTGGGAGGACAAAGCTCTTTCCTTCTTCTTGACCACAGTGTCTGCCTCTGCTGTCAGAGCCTGTTAGCCACATGCAAGAGGAAGCCTCTGCATTAAGCTGTGTAGGTGCTGTAGGCAGGGCTGCGCTCCGGCTGGTCTGGAGCAATGGCAGGGACAGCAGGTTTGCGCACAGGTGCTGGCAGGGAGGAAGAAGCAGCAGGCTGCTTATCACAGTGAGGGGCCTCAGGGCTGCATTGCCAGCCAGGGGGATGGAGCACCTGAAGCTCCTGAAAGTTCCCAACCTGCTGGGCTGAGTGTGCCATGATGATTTTGTCCACCTGTTCCATCTCCTAAACCCTTGCCCCTTTAGTAGCCCTCTCACTGTTGGGAAGTCTTTCAAAGTGCCCACTTTTCTTTTGTCCCAGGGCAGCTGGTTGTGGAACCTGTTCGCAGTCTCAGTCTCTGACTTTGTTTTTCAGCCCCTCTAATCTCCAGAGCACCATGCAATGTCAGTTTGTGCTCCGAACAGATCAACAGGACTGGGTATTTAGCAGTCCTGGGATTCTACTCCCTCCCTGCTCTGATTCTCTTCCTCCCACCAGTGAGCTGGAGTTGGGGCAGTGCTCAGGTCCTGCCAGGTCGCAGCTTTTTTAGTTTACCCTTTTCCATGAGATGTTCTCTCCTCCCAGATGTAGACTGGCTGGTACAACTTATCTCTGGTCACCCTTTAGGAATAGTTATATTTGCTGTATTTTCATAACATCTGTGGTTTTGGGAGGAGATTTCCACCTCACTTCTCATGCCACCACCTTTTTTCCTCCTCCCATTTATGATTTTTCTATCTCCTCCTAAATTCTTCAGTTCTTCTCATCTATACTTTTCATCAGAACCTTAATATAGACTGTGCTTTATATTGTTTTGTATCCAACTTAGCAGAACTCCTGTCATTTCAAACAGAATCTCAGGCTTTTTATAGGCAGGGACTATTTGCTTATATGCTTCTTCACTCCTCCAAATTTCAGTCAATGTCATTAAACTGATTTAATATACTTACTCTAATAACAAGATCCTGCCACATAGTAATGTATAACTGGCCAGGAAATACATTAAATAAGGAATTTAGTCATTGCAAGCTATAAAGATGATAATCTGGGCACGACTGTGACATCTCTTAAAACAGCCCAAATACATAGCCAACTACTTCAGAAATAAAAGGATCTCTGGGTTTATACAGTCTGCTGGTACCAAAATATGAGTCATAGAATCCAGTAAGTTCTTGTTTAGAACACAGAACTAAATCTATGAGATCAAGTTATTAGAATAAAAGCCATAGCCAAACAGAACTATGTTAACAAAATTAAACTCACTGAATTAAGAAAAAGTAACCAGTTATTATTACCTGCATACAAGCATCCTGACCCCTGATGGCAGCTATGTGAGCTGCTGTCCAACCTTGTGTGGTTACTTGTGCAATATCTGCTCCATGCCAGAGGAGCCAATGAAGACACTAAATTAAGAAAATAACCATGTTAACAAGTGATGAGGCAGATGTTTGTAACATTTTCATCTTTTAAACATAGTCTATCATTGTGAAATACTACAGACTAAAAAGCATCATAAGTGGGCCAGTGTAAGAACAAAGGCACAAGCACAATAATAATACAGTAGGGAGCTGTGGCAAAATGGAGGTCACGTTCCTTGTCCATAAGCTGCCAATGCTACTCAACCCCAGCCAGTTGTTGCTATAAGTGAAGTGCTGATCTTATGTTTGACTAGTACCGCTGTGCATGCCAAATAAAATATATCTGCAAGTCAAATTCACTCAATGAATGCCAGTTTGCAACTTCTGCCATAGATCTTTAAATAGGTCCAGAAGATTCCATATCAGAGGAAACACTGTTATTCTGATGATACTCTCCAAAAAATAATAATAAGCAGCTTATTTAAAAAGAGGCAGCATGGTCAAATACATTTTCAATTAAGATTTTTTAAAATTAATCTAAGCCTCAATAGAATATAATACCAGAAGTCTGTGCTATATACAATGTTACTGACTTTATATGTTCAAGTTTGTAGATTCTACTGTCAAGGAGTTTCTTTCTTTTTAAAAGAATTGATTGTTTCATTGGGATACACTGTCACATCAGTCACAGCCATATCATTTGTTGAATAGGCTTATTATTTAGATATCATTTACCTGTTACAAAGTTTAGTGGATGATAAAACATGGAGAAAAAACAAAGCTTAACCTCACCAACAATCACAGTAAATCTTTCATTTATTCAACAAATAGTTATGAAGAGACTACAATATGCTAACACTGTTCAGGCACTGGAGATAAAACTACTGTAAACTTTCATGTACAGGGTTTTTATTTCTCCTGGGTAAATATGTGGAAGATTGTTGAAACATAGGTAAGTAAATGTTCAACTTTATAAGAAACTGAGAAACTGCTTTCCAAAGTGGCTGTACTGTTTTACATTTCTGCCAGCAATGTGTGAGAGTCCCAGTTGCTCCGCATCCTTGCCAATACTTGGTACTGTCATATTTTTGTTTTTGTTTTTGTTTTGACATTCTAATAAGTATACAGTGGCATCACTGTGGTTTTAATTCATATAACCCTAATGGCTAATGATGTTGAACATGTTTTCATGTGCTCAATTGCCACTTATATGTCCTGCTTGAGAAAATGTCTATTGAAGTCTTTTGCCTATTTTTTAATTGGGTTTTTGTTTTCTTACTATTGAGTTACTTACTATATAAGACTCTTCTTATATTCTGACCATAAGTTCTTAGTCAAATGTATGATTTGTAAAGATTTTTCTCCTGTTTTCTTCTAGAAGTTTTATAAGGTTAAGTTTTACATTTGTTTATGATCTCTTTTCAGTACATTTTTACATATGGTACCAAGAAGAGTTGAGGTTTATTTTCTCATATATGACTATCCAATTGTGCCAGCACAATTTAGTGAAAATTCTGTCTGCTCTTTGTTGGATTTCATTTGCATCTTCAGAAAAATCAACTGACCAATCAGCAGAACTTCAGAAATACCTAAGTGAGGAGCTTGGCAAATCCTCTCCAAGAAGCAACTAGACAAAAGTTGTCAAAAGCAACCATTTAAAGACTTTGGAAATTGACCAAAGTCATAAAACAAAATAAGAAACATTTATTCTAGAAAATCTTCTGAATCTCAGTATGAACAGGGTGAGTCTATAACGTTTTAGTTTGAGACTGCCTCCATCTGCATGGTGCACAAGTTCTACCCTGGTGAAGGAACTGAAAATTCCATACCCAGACACATGGTCCAAAACAATTCCAATCCTCAGTGGTCAAAGATCTGGGAAAGACAACATTAGAGCTAGCCTGAAGTCACAGTACTGCTTGGGGAAAACAAAAAAACTAAAGACCACTTAGAAAATTAATAGAAAAATCCAAGAAATAAGGCAGCCAAAATGGGCCTTACTAAGATTCACACTTATTCATTGTAATCCAAATGGCTGAGCACATGTACAAAGTTGCTCACAGGCTGATTTGTATACTGCTTGGACTTTGAAAACATTTTCCAAGCCACACACAGACCAATAAGCAAAAGATGGAATTCTTACTGGCTCAAGGTATTAAAGCATAATCTCTGATCAGTCACTGGATGACTGCTAAGCTATGGTGACCCAGAAATGACTCCTAGGAAACCAGGCTTAAAAATAATAACAAGAACAAAAAAGTAAAAAAGCAAAAAAACTGAGCTGTGGCCTCACACTATTGGGAAGAGACTCCACACAATTTAACCAGGCAATTCAACAAACAAACACACAGCAACAAGCATCTCTGGAAAGGGTGGGGGCAAGAGGATCAGAATTCAAAGTTGCTACAATATAGAATCAAAATTGTCCAGTCAAACTAAAAAATGAAGAGATAGACAAAGAAAACAAGGACACATAATCCATACACAGGAAAGAAAGTAATCAATAGAAACTACCTCTGAGAAGGTCCAGATGTTGGACTTATCAAGACTTCAAAGCAGCTATTATTAGAGAACTAAAAGAAACTATTTTGAATGGAAGTATAGCATAGGAAATATTGCTCACAATATTGTGAAATAATTGTATGTTGGCAGATGCTAACTATATTTATCATGGTAGCATTTAATAATGTACATAATTTATGAATCACTAAGTTATTCATCTGAAATCAATATAATATTATATATACACTATATTTCAATAAAAATGTTAATTGATATTTTTAAAAATTAAAGGAAAGTATGATGATAATGACTCATCAAATAGAAAATATAGGTAAAGAGAGAAATTATTTTTTACAAAGGAAATTCTGGAAGTGAAAAGTATGTTGCTACAGGGGCTCAGTAACTGATTTCACCTGAGAAGAAAAAAACTGAAGTCTAATAAAACACAGCTTTCACCAGTTGTTAACTTAGTGATTATTTCATACTATCAACATAAGTACAAAAATCTCAAGAAATTTCAAAAAGGACAAAAAAACATAAAAGTGTTAATGCAGTACTCAAGTAAGAGAATTAGGAGATGACCTTCAAATGGGAAGGTAGAAAGTTTCAAAAACCTTTCAGTTCAGATTTATTTTTGTTAAAATTCAACAAATATTTCTTAAACATATTCTATGCACTATGCTAGAAACTAAAAATATAAATATAAGTTTAATTCAACAAATTCAGCAGCAATTTAACAAACATTTATTGAGAACCCACAATATGACTCCAATATGGCAGATACAATGCTAGATGCTCTGAATAAAAAAAATGAATAAAACCCAAATGGTACTTTCAAAGAGCTCAAAATCTAGCAGAATCAATTCAATGTGTAAACACAATTTTTTAAATACGTGTAAGACTTAGGGGAAGCACTGAGGAGAAAGTAGGTAATTGGGGGATACTGAGAGGGAAACACAGGAGGTCTTGCCAAGTAGGTGCTGCCTGATCTGGATTTCAACCAGGTAACCAGTGTGAAGAAATGGGACTAGACAGATTAAACAGCAAGCACAAAGCCTATAATAACATGAAACAGTTGATTCATTTGGGAAATGGTAATAATTATTAGTACTATGCCTAAAACCAGTATGATGGGAGATGAGGTTGGAGAGATAAGTTTACCATATTGAATAGCTTGAATTTTATCCTACAGGGATAGGGAGTCACTACAGCAATTTAAAGAAGCTTGTAAGTAATATTAGGTTTAGTTTTAGACAGACAAGTTTGTATACCAACTATGAACTAGAAGTGGATGAGACATAAAAGAAGGCAGTAGCTATGAGGATGGAGAAGACAAACTCAACAGATAAAGATGGAAGAGAATCACCTGACCTAGTGATCAGTTCTCACTATACCAAGGGCACCTTCATCTAGACAAATGCTGATATTGTTTTGCTTCTATATAAAATTGAGACAACTCAACAATGATGCAAAGGTCATTAACCTGGAAAACTAAGAAGGGAGGGGAAAGAATAATGGCTTTAGATCAATTGAATTTGAGATGCCAGTCAGATACACATGAGCTATTGATCAAGCGTCTGACACATAAGCCAGAATTCAAAAGAGAAAGCAAATCAATGAATTGCTATGTAGAAGTGATAAAGCCAAGGAAGTCTAAAAGACTGCCTGGACAGAGAATATAAAGTGGGAAAGAGAAGGCCATTGGAAGATTCATAAAGAATACCTATATTTATAGAGTAGGCAGGGTAGGTTAACCAAAGACTGAGAGTAATCAAAGAGGCTCAAAGGATATTAGGAAAGAGAGAAAATAAATGGTACATCCAGAAGTCCTACCCTATAGAATAGAGCAGGGAAAATCAGTATTCCTTCCTCTTTTCAAAATCATCAAAAGAAAAGCAAGAAGAAGAAGAAAAACCCCATCTCTGATGAAAGTAGGAGACATCTGAAACCACAAAACAAATGGGAAAGCTGCCAAAGTGTAGATCAAACAAGGACGTGGGAGGAAACAGCAGAGAAAATACCCTCCAGGGGCTGCAAGCACAGTAAGACACGTCAGGGCACATTTCTCCCAGGAGAGCAGAAGCCACTAAAAGGCCAAAGCAAAAGTTATTTGCAACAGTTCACATGGGGCACAAAAGTAGTGAAGAAAGATTCTCTGAACCAGATTTGGTTCCAAGAAGCACAGAAGCACAAATAAACAATATACCACACTAGAACCACAAAAGACCCCAAATAACCAAAGCAATCCTGAAAAGGAAGAACAAAGCTTGGGTGCTTACAATCCCTGACTTCAAGATCCACTACAAAGCCACAGTAATCAAAACAATTTGGTACTGGCACAAGAACAGACCCATAGATGAATGGAACAGAATAGAGCCCAGATATAAACCTATGCATCTATGGTCAATTAATATTGACCATGAATATACAATGGAGAAATGACAGCCTCTTCAACAACTGGTGTTGGCAATATTGGACAGCTACATGTAAGAGAATGATGCTGGATTATTGTCTAACTCCATATACAAAAGTTAACTCGACATGCATCAAAGACCTGAATGTAAATCATGAAACCATAAAACTCTTAAAAGAAAATATGGTCAAAACTCTCGTGAATACAAACATGAGCAACTTGTTCCAGAACACATCTCCTCGGGCAAGGGAAACAAAGACAAAAATTAGCAAATGGGACTACATCAAACTAAAAACCTTCTGTATGGCAAAGGGCACCATCAGTAGAACAAAAAGGCATCCTACAGTATAGGAGAATATATTCATAAATGACTCACCTAATAAGGGGTTAACATCCAGAATATATAAAGAACTCATATGCGTCAACACCCAAGAAATGAATAACCTGATCAAAAAATGGGCAGAGGACCCGAACAGACACTTCTCCAAAGGAGAAATACAAATGGCCAACAGGCACATGAAAAGCTGCTCCACATCGCTAATCATCAGAGAAATGCAAATTAAAACCACAATGAGATATCACCACATACCAGTTAGAATGGCCACTATCCAAAAGACAAGAAACAGCAAATGCTGGTGAGGATGCAGAAAGGGGAACCCCCCTACACTTCTGGTGGGACTGCAAATTGGTGCAACCACTGTAGAAAGCAGTATGGAGGTTCCTCAGAAAACTAAAAATAAAACTACCATTTGACCCAGTAATTCCATTTCTATATATTTACCTGAGGAAAACAAAAACCCTGATTTGAAAAGACACACGCATCCCTATCCCTGTATTTATCGCTGCATTGTTTACAATAGTCAAGATATGGAATGACCTAAGTGTCCACCAGTAGATGAGTGGACAAAAATGTAGTACATATACACAATGAAATATTATTCAGCCATTAAAAGAAAAGAAATTCTGCAATTTGCAATAACATGGATAGATCTAAAGGGTACTATGCTCAGTGAAATAAGCCAGGCAGAAACAGACAAATACCATATGATTTCACTTATTTGTGGAATATAAAAACAAAGCAAAACAGAATGAACAGCATAAACTCATAGACACTGAGAAGTGACTACTGTTTACCAAAAAGAGGGATTGGGGTGGGTGTGAGAGGAAGGGGAGGAGATAAAAGGACACAATAATTCACAATCACAATGTAAGTTGATCATGGGGACTGTTGAACCACTGTGATGTACATTTGAAACAACATAAAATTGTATATTAATGGTAATAAAAATAAATTTAAAAATAAAAAACAGAAAAAAAAGAAACAGTGCACCACACAGAGAAGCCATATTCATAGAAAGTAGTCTATTTGTGTGGCAGGAGAAAAAACGAGACTGCATTGTGAATAGACCTACTGCAGCTTACGGGCTGAGGAAATATAGTATCTAAAATAAGCTCCCCACACAAAACCTCGAATCATGAGAAAAATTCCAGTTGGCATTATACACCGCCCAAGAATATGAAGTTTTGCATAAAAACATCCACTAAGCACTTGCTTATACTAGCTAAATATTAAAACCAAATAAATCTCCATGAACTGAAAAATGGATCAATTCTGATAACAATGTAAGCATAGACTGTTATAACATGGCTGAAAGAAATGAACTGAAGTACATATATGTAACCATATGATTAAAGCTCAAAAACACATTGTTGAACAAAAAAAGGAAGCTGTAGAGTGATACACATAATATGATGTCATTTATACAAAATATGTCATTTAAAACAATGATATAATCATATGTAATAACAGCATAAAACATAGATGGGGACAAAAATCACCAAATTCAGGGTAATAGTTATCTCAGGTTGGAAGGAAAGGAATGGCACATGGGAGGGCTGCTCGGGGACTTCAAATGTATCTGTAATATTCTATTTCTTTTCAAAAAATCTGAAGCAACTGGAGCAAAAAATATCAGGATTTGATAGAGCTAGATACTCATTATGTTTTCTTCTGTAAGTTACCCTTTGTGCTTGCCTTTGGAACCCAGACACCACACTATAAGGAATCACAAACTAGCCCAGGTGGAAAGACCTCACAAAAAGGCCCACATGGAGAGGAATTAAGGCGCCCATCCTACAGCCAGCATTTATCACCAGCATTTATCACCAGGTTTCTGTGTGAATAAACCTTCAGAAGATTCCAGCCCCAACTTATAAATCTTCTAGCTGAAGCCCCAGACATCATGTAGCAGAAACAAGCTGTCCCTGGGATCCAAATTCCTAGTTAAATTGTGACCACAACTAAATGATTATTGTATGTCACTAAGCTTTGGAATAATTTGTTACAAAGCCATGGTAACTCAGAATACCCAATTATTAGACTGAATTGAAAACAAAAAAACATGCAGTGCCTAGTGCCAGTCTTAGTTGCTAAATTTATAAAACTGCTAACAGCTGTAAATTTACTTCAGTTTAATAATTTATGTAGCTTCTTACCTCCAAACTTCCAGAATGTGCTGCCCAATGTAAAGGGGTAAGTTTATGGAGAGTGTCAACTTCATTAATACTGGCTCCACGTTCTATTATTTCTGAAAGCTGCTTTACATCTCCAGCTTGTATTGCATCACGTACGCTGCCAAAATGAACCTTCTTCCTGGCACCTACTGAAAAACCAAATTGCTCAAATATGTTACAAAGCTAAAAGAGAAGTTTAAAATTTTTTAATAAGACCAAAGCAATGATTCAACAGAAAACACAAAATCTCTTTGGCTTTCCAAATAATATATTACAAAGGTGTTTGTGATTAACATCTTCATCAGACTTCCATTTCAGCTCTAACATACAGAGAGCATGGATTTGTCACTCTCATATATACAGGAAAAAGGGTGAATGAACTAAAAACCAACTTTTTTCAGACTCATCAGAGAATTGAGGTCTCAGGGCTAACTGCCCGCCTGATTCTGGAGAGACAGGCAAATACAGAGAAACAGTCGAGGTCATCTTACCTGGAGAAGAAGCCACTAAACCCGTAAACTTTTGGAAGCACTTATATGGTAATTTTGATGAATTGCTGGAGGCTGGATATGTACTAGCCTTAGAGTAAGAAATTCCTCAGAACCACAGTCTTAAGAGGGCCCCCACATTTTCATAGATTTTACCCTCAAAACCCCACCAAGTTATCACTGTGCCAAGCCAAGAAAAATCACCTCATGTCTTGGGCAGGGAGGGGGGGATAAGTAACCATATTGAAATAATGCCCAGTACACTCTTCCTAGAAAGGACTACTCTGCAAGGAGAGACTTTACTAGAGCTTTATCTCACACAGATATACTTTATCAATATTTCTCTTATATTTCTCATTTGTCATATACTAAGAAAGGAATGGCCGGTCACAGTTTTTACATCCCACACTCTAGTGTCTTGTATTTTATAATTTAATGCTCCAAACCTCAAGACTGCATTGTCAGGCTTACTGTACTGTGAAATATTTAATGAGCTTGTGAACCAGAAGAATAAAGGTATCTAAGCATGAACAGCTGCTGGAGGAGGAAGAAGTAAAGAGTTCAATGAAAGCATTTCGTAAACAAACAGGCACTGTTCCTCAAATTGTTTTGGAAAGAACTCACCCGTGCTTCTAGCAGATTATCTATCTAACCTTGTATTACTATTTACCTTGTACCTCTCTCCAAAACTAGAATGTTAATTTCTTGAGGGCTAGAATCATATCTTACAGCAACACTTAGTAAAATGCCATACATTTTACTTCAAGTCCTCTATGAGCAGCTACCATGTGCCAGGCACTGTGATAACATGCTGGAAAATAGACATGGATTTAATATATTTTCTTTCCACCAGCATTTTAAAATCTATCTGGATAAATTCATTGAAATGAAAAAACCTGACAGTGATGTTCTAACAAAACAGGTAAAATTAAGGAGGAAGAGGGAACATGTGAGCAAACTTTGAAAAACAACTAAAACATATGCATACAGGGAAGGAGCAAGAAAGGCACCAAAAAAACCCAAGCCACTTAATACATTTTTAATGAAATTAATGTCCTAGGTCAGACCATTATTCTCCTTTAAATTAGTACTGCAAGATCAACAAGTGATGTTCTACCCACTCTAACCCTTTTATAATTCACCTTATACAGGAACACTATTATGATTTATGCCTCTACTGCCAACTGTTTCCTGTTGCCCACTGCTAGTCTAGAGAACAAAGTCCAAGCCTTCAGAAGAACAGTCTCTGCCCCCCATAATGTGCTTCTAATTGTGTGGCCTTTTTCTCACCACATTCCATGCTAATTCATCACTGATCCACCCACCCATCCACTTATCGTAAGGATAAAAAGATGTAAGACATGGTCTCTATCCTCAAGGAACTCACAGAGAGATACAAACCCAAATTATAATATAAGGTGGTAATTACAGTGACAGAAATACTCATAAGAATTTATAGAAGCACAGAAGACTTCTAACTCAGCTAGGATGAGAGAAGGGGAACAGAAAAGGATTACTGGGGAAGATAATATCAAACATGAGACGTCAGGGATTATCAGGGGTTTTCCAGGTAAAATGGGAGCAGACACTGTCACTTCCTAGACAGTGTGAAATAGCAGGATGTGGCCAAGAAACCATAAAAACCCATACCTTACTCCTGAAGCCTGAAACATAAAGTAGAAGGAAAAGAGGCCAGAATCATACAAGAGACAGACTCGTGGAACGTGGACTTGAGCAGAGACTGGGGAGTCACTGAAGGATTTTAAACAGAATAGTAATAATGACCAGATTTGTAATGCTGAGTTTATATGGCTGGGTATGATGAGAGGAAGTCACTCCCTGGGGAGCAAAAAAGGCAAGACTAGAGGCTCTGGGAGACCATGTAAAAAGATAGCTACAATGGTCTACACAGAAAGGTTGAGACCATCAAACATATGTGTGCCTGTAGGAACAAAAAAAGAGCAAATTCAACAAATACTATGGAAATAGGATGAACTGAACTTGGCTGGATACAGTGGGTGAAATAAGGGAATACTAATGGGGTAACTCCAAGGTGTCTGTATTAGTTACCTGATTGGTGAGGTCCCAATGAGACAGTGAACTAATGAACGCTGAAGGACAGAGAGGGCATACGCATACAAAATTGTATTTTGGATATGTTGATCTTGAGATGCTCAATGAACAGTTCCAAAAGGGAGTTGTACGTTTGAGTCTGCAGCTGTGAGAAGATACCTGGAGTTTAGATCTCACTGTTAGGTGTGTCTCAGTATTTTCTGATATCCATCCTCACCCCATTCTGGAGCCAATGACACTCTACTGTTCTCTATAATATTCATCACATTAGTCATTATGTGCTCAATATTCATCTTCCCCACTAGAAGGTAAGCAATGTGCCTGTCTTCCTTACGGATATATTTTTGAAAGACAGCACATAGTGACCACTATATAATATTAACTGGATGAGTGAATGAATAATATAAATTTGGGGGTCCCCAGTAGGGTTGAAGTCAAAGTACATGACAATAAAAAAATGCACTATCCAGGGGGAAAAAAGTGATGGCACTATCCAGGGGGGGGAAAGGCAACATTTAAAGAGAGGATGGAAGAAAAGTCAGCAAAGGAAAGTGAATCAATAGAATGGAAGTAATAAAACTAAGTCTAATGTCATCTCCACAGGGTTAAATGCTGCAGAGAAGCCAAGAACTTAATAGGTTCCATAAGATTTAACAAGAGTCCATGTCAGTCTGTGCAAGAAGTCTCAGGAGTGGTGCAGATGGAAGAAAAGGGAGGAAAGGTGAAATGAGGGAAGATATGGGACAGGTGAACAGCCTTGAGACCTACGGAAAATAGGTTAATTAGGGGAAATGCAGAGTGATAGCTGAGAAGAGGAACTGCCAGAGAGAGGAAGGCTGATGTGGCCTGAAGTGAGAAAAGGAGTGTGGCAGAGATAAGGGCCAGAGTAGTAGTCTGACTCACACGGGGTTGCAGTCTCTGTAGAGGTGGAGGGGCCTGAATCCGACACCCCCGGCATCATGCGATCCCTCGGACTCCCGGGAGGAGCTGGGTGCAGGCCCCTGCTACTGCGGCGCTCTACACTTGCGGTCACCCAAGAGCCACTGCAGTGGTCCCAGACGCCGCTGGACGTGGGATCACAGTCCTCCCTCGTTCTCGCCCAGGAGCCCCTGCGGTAGGACCCTTCCTCTCCACTCTCTGTCCCCCACGTGCCACAGAGGCGACGGCTGGAGTCTTCGCTGACGCTCACCGCGGAGGATTCGCTGGCCGCGTAGCCGCAGTCTTCACTTACTCCCTCCCAGGAACTACTGAGACTGGGCCCGCCATAGACACTCCCTCCCTCCCAAGAGGCACTGAGACGGCGGCTGCGGTCGTCACTGCCTCTCTCCCCGGAGTCGCTAGTTCGGAAGCGGTCTCCCCTTACTCTCTCCCACGAGCAGCTATGACTCTGGCCACCATCTCTCCAAACTCTCCCCCGAGACACACTGTGGCGGTGGCCTAGGTCTTCGGTGACCCTTCTCGAGTCACTGCGGGAGAAGCCGACGTCTTCATTTATTCTGCCCGAATAGCCCCTGTAGCGGTGGCCGCCATCTTCGGGGATTCTTTCCCTGTCTTCGCTAAGACTGAAGTCCTGGTCTTCGCTATCTCTTTCCCTTGACTGGCCGCCACGATGGCCGCATCGGCTGTTTATCTTCCACTCGCAATAGCTGGTGCGGCGGCCGCCGTCTTCGGTTGCTAGTCCCCACGAATCTCCGTGGCGGCGGCCGCCTTGGGCAGGTACCCTCTCTTTCGAGGCCCGTTCCAGGGTCCTGACTCGGGGCCACCTAGGGGGAGTGGTGACAGCCGTCGCCTTGGAAACAAATAAACTTCCGGCGAGCTGCCGTCATTTCCAGTTCCTCTTGCCTTTGCGTCATTTCCGCCTTCCCTTACCTCACCTTTTTCAAGGCTTCGCCTGTGGAGCAATCGGGTGGTGGCACTGGCCGGTTTTCGGGAAGTTCTGCTTGGTCTCACACCCAGCCTGCTCCGGTCCCGTCTGCATAACGGCCCGGCATCGTTCGCGTCCTGCCTGACTCCGCGACTCAGGTGGAGGCTCCAGGACTGCGGTCTGCGTAGGTGACCTATGTGGCGCGGGCCGGGCGGGGCCTTTCGTCCTTGGTAAACTAGTACAATTCTGAAGTGCTGGTAGGGACGTTGGAGAAAATGTATTCTTACCCTGTCATGTCACAGGAATGGAAAAAGATAGCCGCCGCTATCATTACTGAGTTCTTACTAGTGCCAGGTTCTTTGATAATCGCTTGGTACTTAATTTTCACAATAATTTTATAAGGTAGGTGTTATCCCCATTTTACAGGTGAGGAGATTGAAAGTACCAGTAGTTTGCTAAGGCCAAACAGCAAATAAGTTACAGAGCCAGAAGAAAAACACAGGTCATTTGTCAAAAGATTGCTCCAGGTTTTCTGACTCCAAATCCAGGGTTCCTTTCACTGTAAAATGTTTACTTTCAACCGTTTGATCCAAATATTTTTCTCAGTCCTCTTGCTTAAATGTGTATTCTTCCATTCACTCTTTATTGCAAATACAAGGTCCGATTTTATGCTAGCAGCTGGAATTCTGCCTTCCAAGGGCATCACCCGCCTTGATTCTCCCCTCACCCTGTTTTGTTTTCCATCCTTATTGCCCTGCCACAGGTTTTGTTCTGTGAATACATTTGGGAAATTTCCCTGATAGTACCTTTCCTGTCTTGAAGTATAGTAAATTGCTTTTCTTTAGCTTCCACAGTCTATTGTAATGTTAACAATATTAATGCTTGCCATTTGTTGAGTTCATCTGATAAGTCTGGCACTGTACCAAATGCTTTATATTTTCTTACTTAATCCTTAATGTAACCTCCCAGGATAGTATTACTGTTATTTTTTACAGATGAATAGAGCACCAGAGTTACTTGCCTGAGATACACAGCCAATTAGTAGTAAGTGCCTGAATTAGGTTCCCAGCCTAGATCTTTGATGTACTCCTCAAAGTCTGATTTCCCACAGCCTTTATGAGACCATTTAACCCCTCTGTATTATAATTACTTATTTAACAATTGATCCTCAACCCTATCCTCCAGGGAGTCTGAGCTTCTAAAAGATAGGGACTGTATCATTATTCATCTTGGTGTTCTAACATCTAGAATACTTAGTTCAAGGGAAGGGCTTAGTAACTATTGTGTGGGTGAGTGGATTAGTTGATTGATGATGATAGTAGGTTGTGCGGTAGATGAACTGGTAGACTGAAAAGTAAAGTTTTTCACAGTTGGAAAGGAATTTTGGGTTTGTTATCCCAAAACCCTCATTTTTAGAAATGGGGCAACTGAGGCCTTTTGTTTTACCAAATATCTATTGAGTTACTAATACAATACACTTAATACTAATACACTTATACAATAACAGTTTATATTCTAAATGTTTTGCAAATAGTTTCAAACTTAATCTGTATTATTTTTTCTATATTTACAGATGGAGAAACTGCTCAGATTTGGCCAAGATCACATTGCTAGGAGGTGGGAAATTGGAACCCACTATGGCTGATTCCAAAATTAATACAGTGTTTGTAGCCACTTATACAATAATAGTAAAAGGCTTCATTTTTTGCCATGTTGTATGGATAAACTCACTGAGGGAATGAGGCAGCACATCCTTAAGAGATAACACAAGTGGCAGGAAGGATCAGAAAAGGAAACAAACAGCAGAGAAGTAAAATCTCCCAAGATAAACTGAAAAGAAATGAAAAATAGAAGCAAAAATTAATGAACTAGAAAATGAAATTGATCATAATAGCTGGTATAGATACTTAGCAAATCTGAGGAAGAAAAGGAGAGAAAATATTGGAAACAAAGGAACATATTATAGATAATAGGGACTTTTGAAAGAAGGGAATTATTTAGTGTGATCTTACAGTAATAATCTTGAAAATTTACTTGGACAATTTTCTAGGAAAACATAAATTTCAAAAAATTGGCTCCAGAGTAAGAAAACCTTAATAATAAAAAGGTTGATAATCATAAAAGAATACCCTTTTTGTCCCTGACAAAAGTCACCAGGAACAAAGCATAGAGAAGAATGTGGAGTACTTTCCACCCGTAAAGGTGGTATGACCCTAATAATCTGAACAAGAGCAGTGAAAAAAACTTGTAGCTGCTCCTCACTTATATACATAGAAAAATGCTGAGGAAACTAGGAAGTCAGTAGGCATACAGAGAATAATGTCAAAACCAAGTTGGGTTTATTAGTGATACTTCAATTAAAAAAAACAACAACCCAAGTTGGGTTTATCTTACCAATACAAGGATGGGTCAGAATTAGACAAAACAGTAATAAAAATTTCCTACACTATAAAGGAGAATATATGATCATGATAGTGTAAAAGCACTTGAAAAATTAGCATCTGTTACTGATTCAAAAAGAATAAAATTCATATTAAACAAGTAATAAAAGGAAGCTTATTTAACTGAAGGGTATCAAAAAACAGGCATGAAATTGGAAAGGAAGAAACTAAAACAAATGATATTGCTTACCAGAAAACTCTTAAGACAACTGTAAAATACCATTAATTAAAATAGAGTTCAGTATGATGGTAAGCTATCAGCAACACAGAATTAAGATGTCCTATAAACTAGATATACTCCATTTTTAAGTGTAAAGGAAGATCTTGCTCATATTAGCAGCAACAGTGGTGAAATATTCTAGAAATCTATCAAAAAGTAAGCAAAGCCTACATGAAAAAAAAAACTTCACAATAAGTGGAAAGATAGCTGAATATTTACATTAGTAGGCTCAGTATTATAAAAATACTCTGAGATAATAAGTTTGTTGCAACTAAAGTAAAATTGCTGTTTTTAGTAGAAAGGGGCAAGATGATTTTAAAATCATCTGGAAAGCATAAGTGCAAGAACAAAACACTTGAAAAAGAAGAATGAGGACTTATATGCAAACACACAATAGAATTATAAAGCTAGAGTATTTAGAACAAGTGATTTGAACAGGATTGAACAAATAGATTTGTGGAACAGGAATCCAGAAATAACATATACGTTTATTATAGAGGTGGCATTTCAGATAAATGCAAAATCTTCGATATTTTCATATTCAAAAATTTCAGAGTTAATAACAAAGTGCCAGAAGGATATACAGAAAGTCTGTTTTATACATCTTAGGGAGGCCTCCCTAAGCAGGACAAGCCCCAGAGGCCACAGAGAAAAAAATGTAAGCATTTAAAGGGCTACAAAGTATGTTACCATTGAAGTTGAGACCAAAGATAGACTTCTACAAATTTAAGTCAATGAGAAAGAGTGACTTAAAAATGAGCAAAAAAAATGGTAATACCAAGAGCAAATTAAAGGACACTCAAACTTATTAAGAATGCTGTTTGTGCATCACAATGATAAAAAGTAAAAACATGGATAATGATTGTTGGCTAAACAGCACATGAAGGCCTTGCTGTTGAAAGACTAAATTGGTGTTACTGAAAAGGACAGTTTGGCCAGTACCTGTCAAAATTCTAAATATACATTACCTTCTAGCCAGGAACTACCCAGGTGTAAAATCTTCAAACTAACTCTCTTAGATGTTTGTACTAAGATAGTCATTGCAACACTTTGTAAGTAATTAGAAACAGAAACCTGAATATCCACCAGTGAAAGAAAGGCTAAATAAATTATGCTATATTCATAATAATAGGATATTACACAGGAGTAGAAATGCAGATCTACATGCATTAATCAACATGGAAAGGATTGTAAGATACAAAGAAATTGAAAAAGGCAAAATGTACATGTGATCTCATTTGATTTCTAAAAATTTGCAAAAGATTTCCTTTAAAGTTTGGGAAGCATCTGTACCAAATTGTTAACTCAGTGTGTTTTTTAATAGAACAGGAAGAAGGATGTGAAAGGAAACTATTTTCTATACTTGATTATTTAAATTATTCCTAAGTAAAAATAGTAGAAGCACAAGAAAAGGTACTGTCAGATGGAGCAAAAGGTATTTTCAAAGAATGTGTGGGTCAGGAGAGTGAAAGACTAAGAACAGCACATGCTATAAAGGAAGTTGCTCAAGTTTCAGAACACACACTAAAGTGGGCATCAGCATTCTGGAGAACAGAGCTCTGTTGAAGTCGGAAGCTTGTGGTTCCAATTTTGGCTGGTCCACCTCTACCTCAGTTTTAATGAAGTGTGGTGATAAATCAAGCAGTTTACCCATAAATTAGCTGTCTGCATCTATTTCCAGAAGAGGGAGCAGGGCCAACTCAGGCCAAAAATAAGTGGGTTTTGGTGACCGTCTGTACTCCTTTGTGCTTTGTTCCTTCTCTTGATTTGCAGGTTCTTGTTCTCTGGTGTGTACCTCGACCCTAAGGCACCCCACAGTGCTATTTCGCTCTTAACATTGACTTGTTCTTCCCCGCCTGCCTAACAAAGTGTCCACTTTCAGGGAGAAGATGTCCTACTACAAAAGTTCAGGCCTTTCTTGACAACAGCCTGATTTTCCATTTCTACCTCAATTTTACCTCCTCTTTTGTCTGCTTAATCTTTCCACTGGCAGGTATGTTAGATGCCTCCTCATATTTTCCTGAGTATTTTGTATTAACCTCTCAGAGCATTTATTAGGTGCTAAATAGGCTGTAGAGAGAGCTAGCCAGGAAAACATAACTAGAATCTAGAGTTCTCTACGTTAAGCTGTTACTTAAGAATTTAAGTTTTTAATATATAATTAGGTCCTTGTTTTTTTCTCCAAGCTTATTTTTAGCTGAATAACAGATTCCTTTGTATGATTTTCCAGAACATGACAGTTGGAACTTGTAAATTACATTAAAAGAGGGTTTAAAAAATGAAATTTTCAGATTTTAGGAGACAGAATATTCCTTTTGTTCTCAGCAATTTGAGCTTATTTCAGAAGACTACCCTGTCTTCTCTGAGGCAGCCTTCAGCTTTCCCTGCTACACCTCCCAGTGCAGATTACTAGTTACAGCTCCCTATGCTGTATTGCTATTGCTTTTCCATCTTGTAGGGCTAAAGCAGTGTTGCTGATTTCTACATCAGTTCACTAAAATCAACTAAGAAGCTTTTCTTTAACTGAGATAAATTGACATACACTAATTGCAGGTTTAACTATGGAAGCTCTTAAATATTCTAAGTGTCTCTGAATGAGAATCTACTAAATGAAGACTCCAGAGATACGTAATCTGTTCTTAACATTCACTGTGATTCCAATGCATGCCCGAAATTTGGAGAGCACCCATCTAAATACCTGACATCTAGCCTCCTACTTCAAAGGAAAACTGGGAGTTCCCAGTTCCAACTGTAGATAACCTGGGACTATTTCAGAGAAAGTACTGCCCTTCCATTCCAAAGCTAATTCCTCTTGGCCATTGATCTCTCTTTCCAGCTGTGAGACTGGCCTGTCATCTGCAGCCTTTCTTTCCAATGAGCTTTTAACATGTTAATGTCTTGTAATTGTCTCATTCTAACTACAGGTAAATATCTTGTTAATTTCATAAAGAGTAAGTAGCTCTTAATTGTTTTGTCATCTGTCACCCACACAGCCCATTGCAACTGGCATTGGCACCCATATTCAACTGTTACTCAGTTAATAGTTGGATGTTCTTCAACCTTTCCACATTTTCTTACTATCCATTCTTTGAAAAGCATTTTCCCATTGCTGGTTTTTCTATTTTACTTCTTGAACAATGCTTCTTTCTCACCTTCCCACCTATGAGTCTTTAAATGTTTGCTCCCCAGGGACCTATCTTTGGCCCTCTTCCTCTATACAGATTCTCTTGGTAGGCTTGTAGGTTTGAATGCCTTTTTTTAAAATTAAGGTATCACTGATGTACAATCTCATGGAGGTTTCACATGAGCAACATTGTTACTACATTCACCCCTATTGAGTACCCCCCCCACACACACACACCATTGTAGTCACTGTCCATCAGTGTAAGGTGCTAGTCACTAACTTCTCTGTGCTGTACTGCCTTCCCTGTGACTCCCCTATATTACGTGTGCTGATCATAATGTCCCTTAATTCTCTTCTCCCTCTATCCCCTCTCACCCTCCTCACCCCTTTCCCTTTGGTTAACTGCGGGTCCCTTAATGGATGCTGAGTCTGCTGTTGTTTTTGTTCCTTCAGTTTTGCTTTGTTGTTACACTCAACAAATGAATGAAATCATTTGCTTGTCTTTCTCCGCCTGGAATGCCACCTTCCTTTTGATTGTCACACAATTTTATGCTCTTGACAAAACCTATGGGTGACTTCCCCCCAGGCCAAAAAAAAGAACAGAAAATTTGCCTGAATTTTTTTATTCAGACCACAGCATTTTTCCATGACAGTGTTAATATATACTCATAAGTTCAGCAATTACACAGTGTGTTTTATACCTCTCAAACTCACTGGATGCTCACCAGTTTTCTTACTGGACCTCTGTAGCATTGAAAATACCTAAATTTTTATTCACTTTAAAAAATAAAAGGGCCAAACTCAGATCCAGGTAAGACCTGTTTAAAATTTCTAGTGGCTCTAAGGTCATCATTGTAATATAAATTCAGAATGACCGAGATTTCATAATTTATTCAAGGTTAC